CAGAAGAACTGGACATGAGCTAGAAAGCTCTAAGACAATTTAACTCCTTAATGAAAATTGGGAGTTGCTGAGTGACAGAAATCAGAGAAAGGCATTCTTTGAGGAAAAAGTTTCAGAGTATTTTCTGTGATGCTTGTGGGGCTGAGTGGTGCATTCCTGCTTCTGAACAAGCTGCAGCATATTCTGGGAAAGAGGAGAAATAAACCATGGACGGGTGGGACCTGGGATTACTGTGGCCTGAAGAGGGGTGTAGGGATTTGATCCAAATCCATATGAAACTAGATATCATTAATTTTTTTTCCCTAGATAAGTGTTATTTATTTATTTCTAACAGACCCTAGGGATTAATTTATATACGTAAGGTATGCAGAGCTGGAAGATATTATGTATTCATGCAATAGTAATTTTCAAAGGAAGGAAAAACTAACAATTCCTAATAATAATTATACATATGCAGATATTTGTTACTAAGATTATGAATTTCTAGCAAAATCTGCTCGGATGGAATGGCCTGAATGTCTTACTTTGTGTTCTGGAGGCATTTGTATCTCTTGATAAATCTTGTCCCTCAAGTTTATATGTCATGCTCTTTAGTGACCTCTGAACTAGTTTTGGCAAAGTGTATGAAGTCAAGAGTTTCGCAATGTCTCTACTGAATGAATGAGTAGAGGGAAAATCTTTAGCACATTTGATATCGTTTTCAGTGCTAGTGACAGCTGGTACAACGTGGACAGGAAGGGAAAGAGCATCCTCTTTTTCCTAGCTGGGTTTTAGAGCGCTTACCACTGGGGAATGCTGGCAGTAAAATCTAGAAAGGCTCACTCTACAGCAGTTGTCTGTCTGAAAAGTGGAGATTCCTGAGCTGTCTTTTATAAACACTGAAGTTATTCTTACAAAACAATGTATTTGCAGCACTTTGAGCATATTCAAATTGCTTTTGAAATGTTGAAGTCAATTGTATTAGTCCAATTCAGCGATGGAGTAGTTTGTTTTGCATAAGCAAAGAGTGGGAAGAAAAGCAGGAAAGTAAATCTATGCTAATTAAAACACCTTCTAATGAAAGTGTGGACAAGAAAACTTGCTCCTCTCATTGGTTTTGTGTTAAAAAAATTCTGTAATTTGAATTAATAATAATAGCTGCATTTACTTTGGTTTTTTTGCTTTTCCTGAAGCTTCTTTGTTGATTTTGTAATTTCGAATTTATGAACCAAATTACATAACTCAACTATGTAATCACTGATGAGGGTATACACGTTGCAAGCAAAATGCAAGTGCACATAGATAGAATCTGGGATCAGAAATTCAATCAGACTACACCTGCTAATGTGTTCATCTACATGCCTTGTAAGGCTCTGATGTGTCACGAGTGACATGTTCTCTAAGCATTAGTCTGGACTTTTTCTCTGGATTACTAGAATTAACAGCTGTTGTCAGCTGGGCTCAAAATCCGAGGACTGGTTTTATGAAACATTATGGTGATGGTGTGTTTACCTCCTCCTGTATGAATGCAGCTGATAGCATTGCCATTTTAAACACAAAGGCACTACTATCATTTTCAGGTACCAGTAGCACTTAGGGTCAGATAAAGAAAGTCTAGAAAATGTAAATAATTGGATCAGTTAAGTCTATACTGCTTATTAATTAAACTCTCACAAGAAGGCATTATTCACAGCCTTCAATAAGGAGTGAATATGTTCAACAAAATGAACAGTTGTCCTAGACTGCAAGTGCACTAGAAGCAATATGTACATCCTTTTGGGTAGAAAAAGGCTACTTTATAAAACTGCTAGTACAGTTGTGCATTGCCAGTTTTGCAACTAGTGAAATAACTTAAGGAATCATTTAGTGTTTATGTAGAAATTTTCCCAGTTACTTTGTAACACAGAATACTTTAAGTGTATTACATAGGAGTTTTTTGAAGTCCTCTATATAACTTGAAAAATGTAGAGCTAAGGATGCCTGGTTTTCTACAGATTTGCATCTTGAAATTTACCTCATGTATTATATAACTCCTTCCTGTCTAAAATGGGCATTACTCCACAACATTTTTTTCTAACTGCAGGCATATGTTTCTATGAAGAATTTTTAAGTGCCCTGCACCCAAACCAAAATTGGTTGTGGTGGGCCAGGGATTTAAAAAGTTATTACAGTGGGAATTCAATCCTACTACATACTTGTATCCTATAAGGATACCAGGCTAAAATGTCTGTATTTATTAATTTAATTTTGTATGAATGAATCTGTACCTTAATCCCCTGGATATATTGTTCTGAAGTCACTAAAAATGGGGCTTGAAGACATGTCATATGCCACAAACTGAATACATGTCAAAATAAGCAAAGTGTCATTTGACAGACATTTGTGTCTTCCTGTACATCAGGTAAAAATTCAAATCAAGAATTGTAGTAAGGGTGGGGTTAGTGACTAATGACTACTTTCTAAGTAGATCCATTTACAAAGTAAGATGGAAACTGTAAGTAACGTTCCACAAACTTTATTTTATATGTTACAAAAGTTTAAACCCTTTTCCATGTAGACAATGGGGTATCAGACAATCTGACAGCTAGTCTGTCAGACACTTCCTTCTGGGAACCGTGGATGAATCACTTCATGCTCTGTGCCTCAGCATTGTTTCCAGAACTTTAGGATATCATCTACTGATTTGAATTCACATTTTAAAATACATATATCATATTTTATGCTTATAAGCTTGCTGTGAGCATTAATTCAAATGACCATAACATGATAACTGCATGATCTCAGCATCGAATACTGTTCCATATTCAAGCTTGCCTTAGTAGTTTAAGCTGATTTGTTTTTCAAAGATCAAAACAATGAAATATAAATAGATAATACATGAAGTACAGAATCCTAGAGGAGCAGCTCAATGGTCAAAGAAGTTATAAAATAGATACCATTCAGATCAGAGTAATAAATTTTCAAAACCTCCTATATCCTTTGAGCCTCCAGGATCTTGTATTACTTACGGCTTTGTACAATCCAAAAGTTAATTGTTATACTGAATGAGGCATTTTTTGGTTAGCAAAGGAATTAGTTATGTTTAATTACTCTCCTGGCAATCTGGTTTGTGATAGTTTCCTTCAAGGCTAAGCTAATCAGTAGATAGAAAATCCTCCTACCCATCAGTAAAGACTGAAGAGAGCCTTTGTATTGTTATATAAGAGCAGGGAAAGGCTGACTGGCTCTGGCTACTCTCATTTCCTATATCTCTGTATAGATAGTTATAGCGTATAGAGGAGTGCTGCACTGACAGGCAAGAGCTCCTGCTTCAATCTCTACCTGCAGCCAGAGGCTGTGACTTCCCGAGGGGAAGATCAAGAACAAGGTGAGTAATGAGAAATACGTGCCTAAGTGAGGCCTCCCACCGGTGCAGAAGTACTGGCTGCCTGTGGCAGTCGATGCCTGGGCAGGCAGGTATTAATAATGATGCAAACCCCTCACAGCATTTCTGGAGCACCTGCTTACAATATTAAAAAGTAACTCAGGATCAATCATTTAATTTCTTTTTTTTTTTTACGTGGCACTCACAGCGAGCGCTGCTCTCAGATCCTCCCCCGTGGGAGCTGCGTCTCTGACCACGCTGCCTCTTCCTGCCCTTCCTCACACACTGTGATCAAACACCAGAACAGTCACAGATAAGAGTCAGAGGTTTCAAACTACGTGTTTCTCGCCAGATCCTCACCAGATGTGCTATTTAGTTCTTTAAAACAAAACACCTGTTGTGTTTTTCCAACTTTCGGAGACCTTTTCCTAGGGCAAGTGTTTCACAGGGAAGCAGGCTGGCCTCCCAGGCAGGCAATCCCACTTCGGGATTTCCAGAGACTGGTTGGCACCGACCTCTGAATCCACCTGCTGAAACAGGGGACACCACAGTCATTTTTTCACAAATAATGGGGGCACTGTCGCCGTCCCGCGTGTGGGAGATCGGGGGGGGGGGTGGGGGTGGGGAGCGCACTGGTTTTTTAATCTCAGAATTCCTCTATATTGCCCCAGCCTATCTTAAGTTTCACTGATATCCTACTACTGGTTCGTATTCGCCTTTCTGCCGTACTGTAATACCGGAGCAGCAACACGAGAACGTGAGGTTTCCGCGCACGCGGTCCAAGACCACGTAATTGTTTTCCTCTTTGACATCTCTTTAATAATGTCACCGGGGGGGCTGTCGCTGTGCCTCGCGGGCACTAGGGGCACTGGAGGCACTGTCGCCATCCCCCGGGGGTACTGGAGGCACTGGGGACACTGGAGGCAATGGAAACACTGGAAGTCCTGTCGCCGGCCCCTCAGGATGCCCCGCGCGCCGCCTACGTGCCTCTCGCCCCGTCCCGCGCGCCAGGGGCCCCCAGCAGGCGGGGCGGCGCCACGGCGGGGGCGGGCAGGGGAGCGGCCGCGCCCTCGGGGCGCATGCGCAGCCCGCGCTCCCCCGGGGCGCGGGGGCGGGGCGCTCTCCCGCCGCGCGCTGCGCCCCGGTTGGCCGGGAAGGGCGCACGCGCCGGGGCGCGCCCCCGGCCCCGCCCCCTCGCGGGGCGGGTGCCCGGCGGCACCGCCCGCGATTGGCGGGGGCGGTGGGTGCGCGCGCGGTGGGCGGGGCGGTGGGCGTGACCAGGCCATGTGTGCCGGGCGCCGCCGCAGAGCGGCCGCAGCCGCCGCCGGCAGCGCCGCGCCCGCCCCGCCTGCCCGCCCCGGGGAGCGGCGCAGCGAGCCCGGGCGATGTTCGCCGCGCGGGGCTTCCCCTGCGCCCGCCTCCGCCTCGCCGGCCGGCCGGCCGCTCGCCGCTCCGCCCTGCTCTGCCACGGGGCGGCGGCGGCGGCGGCTCCCCCCGCCCCGCCGGGGCTGCCGCTGCTCGGCGGCGCCCGCCGACGCCTGCTCGCCCTCGGCGGGCTGAGTCCCTCCGCCGCGGCGGCGGGGCGGGGGGCGGCGGGAGCCGCGCCATGCGAGCCGCGGCGGCGGGAGCGCGGCGGGCCGGGGGCGGCGGGCGGCGGGTTCCGGCCGTCGCGGGTGGCCGTAGTGGTGAAGACGACGCGGTACGAGTTCGAGCAGCAGCGGTACCGCTACGCCGGGCTCTCCGAGGAGGACCTCAAGCAGCTGGTGAGCGGCGGCGGGGATGCAGTCCCGGCCTCCGCGGGCGCTGCCACCGGGGCCGCGGCGGGGTCGGGGGGCGGGAGGGTCACCAGGGGGATGCGCGGCCCAGGGGGTCACTGGGCCTCTGTGTTCGAGTGTTCCTGGGGTTTCCCCGGGGCGGTTCGCTATTCCCTCACTGTACCTCTGCCCCTGCTGCCTTCCCGGCCGCCGATCCCGATGGACAGAGCGGTGCGAGCCGCGCCGCTGGACCGCCCTTCATTCATCGCTCGCAACCTGTCGAGGGATTTGTGTAGTAAGCGTGTTTGGGTTTTACCCTCAGAGGGATTCCAGCAGCCCTCAGCAAGCTGCAGGCTTTTCCTGGGAGCGTGTAACGTAAAGATTAGAGAAGTGCATACTGAGGAAAGCACAGTGTTGCAAAAAATCTCCTCTGAGGCTTAGAGAGGACTCATTCACATTTCCTCCTTTCCTTGCTCCACATCTTTGCTTCGTCCTTATGTATTTTCCTAAGAACTCCTCCCAGACAGCCAAATCTCACCTTTGCATATGTTCTCCTTGTTAAAGTTTTTAGAAAACCCGTTTTTTTTTTTAGTCTCTAAGAAACGTTTAGTATAAAGGTCCATTCCTGAAGTTGTACTAAGGAAAGCAGGTGTCTCTAAGAGTTCATATGTGTACCCAGCAGCTTGTCTCTTCATTTCCCCCAAGCTCAGTTCTCCATTTACCCTGTGTCTGTCTCCTTCCATTGTTCATCTGCCACTGGTGGGCCAGAGAATGGTACCTGCTGGAGTTGCTGTGGCTACCAGCAGGCCAGGTCATGAGCTCATATTACTGTCTTTATTTCACATAAGACCATTAATTTGTGTCTGTCTTGTCTTTGGTCTCTTACATATTTTAGACCTCTGTTAATTTGTAGTGTTTGGATTAAACTTGTACATATGCTTAACTTATTGTGCAGGGACAAATGGTGTGGTTGCATTGCCTTGCGTCATAGAGAACTGGGATAAAAAGTACACTATGTAAAGCAAGATAGTTCTGACATCTTTCTGCATGCTTCAGTTGTTCATCCATCTCCTGTGGAATTCCCATCCAAACATTTTTACATGTTTTGTGTACCTCTCTAGTCATATTTCATATATCAACAGGTTTAATGTGGAAACATCATTCTGTGTTGATTCCCATGTGGGTTCCTGTTGCTAAGGTGTCCTTGTACTTCCTTTCAAATGGTGGTTATGGAAAAAAAATGGCTCTCACAGCTCATCTGTAAGACTGTTTTTCTTTTCATTTAAGCTTCTGTTGAGGAAGCATTTCTTGTTTAGTATAGAGGTTGTCCTCAGCATGCAGCTAAAACCAAGAAAAACAAAAGGGTGTTTGGTTACTTTTCCTTAACCACTGTGTACAGGCAGGAATGGGACAGTGAATCAGTTAGTGAGCAGTGTCATTAGTGTTGCACATCCCTTGACTAAATGTAGTGGTAGTTGCAGTTTCTTTTCTCACAGGAATGCATGTTTTGTGTGATTGGTAACCTGTGTCACTCTGAAGATTCATTTTTAAAAAAGTAACTGTGAATTCAGTGGCTGATTGTAGTAGTTGGAGAAACACCTTAGGATTTGTCCTTTTGGAGAAACTTACATGTATAAGACAATTCTGCACATTTGGGAGAATTCTAGAATTTTGGTTGTAAGACTGGTGCTTTTTTTTAAAAACCTTTCCCCTGAAAATACCTCCTTGTGAGCAATTGCAGCAATAAATCACAGTGTCGCCAGGTAGACAAAGCCTAACTTGCCTAACTGTGTGTGTAGCAATACTGAGTTAAGCTCTTGTTGTATGGGCAGGAATACAAAGATTTGTGCAAGAACACACTGAAAAGCTCTTCTAGAATTCTATTTTTGAAATAGAAAATAAGAGAGTGAAAGAATTATCTTTACTGCTATTTCTTAAATTTTTTAGCTGACCTGTAAAAATTTCTGTATTTGCATTTTGCTGTGACTGGTCTCAGATTGTTTTTACTCCAGCTGAGTTAATGGCAGCCTTAGTGAAAATGTTAGCTGAAGTTCAGGAGACTCTTAGCCTCTCTGTTGTGGAAAGAGACCACTTCATAGCAGAGTGATTGCTGCAAAGTGTCCTTCCCTGCAGTGCCATGTCCTTTGTGGGCAGCTTGGGAATATGATGCATTTTGCTTCCTGAAGTTAGCTGCACTCTGCTCTCCCTGTTTCTCCTGGGGAGGCTTCAGAAGCTGCTCCCAAGGCAACTGATCTCAGAAATGAGCCCAGACCTACTTCCTTCGGATTTGCAACTCAGTGGTGCTGAAGGGCCAAATAGAGGGTAGGGTGAGAGCTGAGGCTCGTATGAAAGCCTCACGTTGGGGTAGAGACAAAGAGTGAAAGCAAAGGAGCGTAGGAGAGGTTTGGTTTACCTGGTGCTTGGAGCTGTTGGCTAACCCAGACATGTTGGTGGTGGGGATTGTGTTACATTGCAGGGGCTCAAGCTTGAGTGACCCCGGACCTGGCTTGTGGTGTTGTGGCAGCATCACGGTGTGAGGGAGTCTAAGGAGGAAGCACAATGCTGTCATCATCTGTCACAGACCTTCAGTTGTCCAGGTGCTGACTATCTGAAGTACAGAAATTCAGCTTCAAGGCACTGTTCCAGGGTTAGATTTGACCAACTGCACCTCGGCTCATTGGCCTACCAGTTGTGGGCAGAAGAAATGTTTGCAAGTTTCTAGAAGAAAACTGATGTCTCTACTTGGAAGCTTCAGATTTTCGTATAGCACAAGTAATGATAATTGTGGGCTTAAACAGTTCTACCTGATCACTGAGACAGGAGAGGAGTCATGAATTTAGCTGTTGCAGTCAGTGCATTTATGTATTAAGACTGAAGCTGCAGTCACTTAATGCAGAAATGGTGGTGCATTTGGGCACACGTCCTAATGAGGTGGGATTTGTTCCATATTTAAGGAGGCTGAAGATGAATCACTGACATATACAAATATATATTAAAATATGATACAGATCATAGTATGTATCATTTATATGATATATCCAGTAAAAATCACAGTATACTTCAAGAAGCAGAGTATGGGTATCAAGGCAGACTGGCTGACACTTCTAATAACCCATAGAGGCCCTGAGCACCTGTGGCTTAAATCCTTCTGTGGCCTTTCCTTTGGACCCCAAGTGAGTTGTATTATACAAACACTATAAAATGTTGCAAAGTCAAAGCTGCAAGGTCACAATTCCTGAATTCTTTCTTTGTGCAAACAGAGATAGGAGAGGTGAAGAAGCAGTCCAGACAGCAGAAAAACAAAACAGATGCCGGAGAGATGGAGAGCAAGGGCAAGCACTCTTTGGAGTGTTTAGCAGATCTGTGAAAGATTAATTCTTCCATTGCATTTCTGCATGCATGCTGTGCATGCCTGCTCCAGGCAATTGTTTTTACCTGTCTTGTGGCAGATACTATTACATGCTTACAAACAAGTCTTTTACATCTGTTTATAGGTGTACACAAACACACCTGCCTATCATAATTAGTAGTCTAATTCTGAAGGATTATGTAAAGTATAATTAAATGCTTTGGATGCTGTTTTACTGGAGAGGTTTTCAGAGTCTTTACTCCTGAAGAGAGATTAGAGATCTATGAAAGTGAGATTTCTCTTCTAATACCACAAAAGGAAAATGCCTCCAAATGATCCAGCACTTAAAAAAAAGTGCTGCATCAGTAAATTTTGTGCATCATATCATGCAAGGAATATTTTTCTTTGCCTTCATGAAATTTGAAGGGGCTACTGGATTTCTAAAACTTGCAGTTACCATCTTTAAGTTAGATGAAAATACTAATATTTTTCCCAAGTCCCTACAGACAGTTTGCTTACCAGGAGTGACAGCAGTTTGCATTTCTTCTGACCTGTTTATTTGGATTAGCATCTAAATATGACTGGTTACAAAAGTAAATGATCCAGTCAACTAATACTGAAGGCTACTGTATATCCTGGCTGTTTATTTCATTCTCGGTAAATCCATGCAGAACAAGCACTGCTGTTGTCCTTACGTAAACTAAGAGAATTTAATACCCCAGTAATAGATAAAACTAATTTCCTGAGTTCTGTTCTTTGTTTTGTTTGATAGTGCAGATGCGATGTAGCTGCTGACTTCTCATGCCTGGAAGGTATTTAGGAAAGATGAACAATTTAGCTGTCCAAACACAGTTCATATACAGTTTTAATTACCTTTGAAAATGTCATATGAAAAGTTAGGTTTGTTTTGGTCTTAATTGGAAGGAAATGGTTCAGTGTGGACCACAGCTGATACTCTACTGTGGCTGGTTTACAGTCGTCGTTTGCAGCAGGGAGGGAGAGCACAGACTTAGAGCTGTTTGGAACAAGTTTTGGCTCATTTGGACCACTGCAACAGATTGGTAGGGGTGCTCATCTCAGTGATGTGAAGTTCATAGGGCTTTATTGAGAACTGGTTTTTCGTTAGAGAAGAGGTAGCGTGTTAGCAGGATATTCCCTCCCCTGAAAGAGGCACATAAGTGATGCATAGGGCACCACCAATAACATATAGAGCTGGGGTAGTCAAGAAGGAAGAAAGGAGTGTTGCCCAGCAGGTAGGAGAGGTTCAGTTGAAGCTCCTGTGTTGTGCACTAGAACAACCCCACAGAAGTATGGAGGGTGTGTGTGTGTGTGTAGAAGAACACTACCCTGCCATTCTCCTGAATTCCTAATTAAGATGTGTATAGCACCAGTTGTTACCAGCCTGCACATTTTCATGTCTCTTAAGAAAATTCTCTCTTGGGGGAAATGTACTGTTTTACTAATAACTTGATAGCTGATTGATTTTTGGTTTTAATTATGGAAATTAAAATATCTTTTACATTAAATGGTGAAAGTATCACTTTAGTATCACTTTTTAATTACTTTTTCTGGGTACTAGTGTTACAGGTGTGTAAATCTCACATTGCCACCTGAAGATAGGCTTTTGGAAACCAGTCAGGTATTTCATTCTTAGATTTCTGATTTAGAGGAGTGCACTTCAATACAGATGCCTGTGATCCACTGCAATTATTTAGTACGTAAATATTTTCAAAACACTGGAATTTTTACAGATGCAAGGAAGGTAGCAGAAGGAAAAAGTAATGTGCAAACTTCAAAGTTCAACTGAGTTCTAATTTTAAAATTAAATGAGATAATTTAGCAAGTAATTAAAAAAAAAGTTGCTCCTCTAAAAACTACTAAGTATTAGGACATTTATGTTTGTGTCCTCTTGTAGATCCAGATATACAGGGGTGCATTTGAAGTCGTATCTTTAAATAGAAACTTATCTAATGAGGTCATAGTTTGAAGCTTTTCATTGTTTTGTCGCATTCAGACTACCCATCTCTGCTTATTTTGTAATGTGAATTATTTCAGTAGCTGTTTTTTCAGGGAGCAGTTTAAAAACTGCTAGGACTGTACTATGTACTTTACTTTACCTTGCCTTAAAAAGAGGGGGGAAATATCAACTCAGTTTAGTGAATTTCAAGCATACAGAATTCAAGACACAGGTTATAGTGCACCAGGACTGTATAAAGCTAAAGCCACTTTTTTTTTCAGAAATAAAATTTTTGAGCTAGTCCACTGGAAACTGAGATGGGTGTAGATGTTTTTCAAATTACACAACCATAGCGTACATTTGTTTATCTTTACCTTTGCAATTTGATATACTTGCATCAGTGTTAAGTAACTTCAGCTTGCATCTGCTGTATTAAAAAGTTCTTTCCATATTGTTGCTCTGTCATAAGAAGAGTCTGGAAAATGACAGAAACAATTAAATAGGATATAGTAATTATTTTTTTCCATAGCATTTGTTTTTCCCGTACACCATTCAAGTATACTTAGTCATATATAACAAATACATATAAAATAGGGAGCATTTCAGTGTACCTAAATTAAACTTCATGGATTATATCACCAAGCATCTGATACTGTATACAGCTGAAAAAGGCTGCTTTTTGGAAGTTACTTTAATACTGGTTTTAAGTACTTCAGTAGTTGTGATTTACGATGTTATGTTGGTGTTGTGCTGAATTAATGAGAACTGAGTGATTGTATTGCATGCATTGCACAGGGTTCTAGAAACCTGTTAGTGCAGAAAGCAGTTACTGTTCTGTTTATAGTTAACACAACAATTTGCTCTGCATTAGCCTTTGAATTGCAAAAAACTCTGTGTATTCCTCAGATGTGGTTAAAATGACAATAATGCTTTAATGTGGTGGATGATGAAGAATTAGAAAATAGTTTATGGCATTTTTACTTTTGTTTATGTATGGATCAAACTCTTGCCCTAAAGCAGCATTTCTATAAAGCTTCAGGAACATAATGTTGCTAGTGAAGTCAGCTACTACAGAAGTAAAGGCATATAAAATGCTACAATATGCAAAACACTTCATAATTATCAGTCTGTAGCAGATACAAAGGCACCATTTGAAAAGCTGTTGTGACGATGTTAATAAAAGTAAGTAGTCTAAGTGATTGAAGAAAAAGTAAGGAAAGTATAAGGGAAAAAAAATTCCTACCTAAAGCAGCCTACTGAACTTCTACAGTATGAGGGGCATTGTAGCAAAACAGTAGAAACCTAACAGGTGTACAGGAACAATATTAGGAACAATTCTGAGCAACTGACAGCTAGTCAGTGCATCAGTCAGTAGTGCTGGTCAGGTAACACCAGCCTTCTTATCTTTCTGGTGTGGCAAGTACCGCATCAGTTAACCTAGCACACTTTTATAAAGCAAACAGCCTGTATAATAAATAATAACCCAGACTGGGAAGTGGGGGAAACTGGGCTTAATGCCTATGGCTTGCAACTCAGCAGTAGTTTTTAATGGAAAACTTAATTCATATTTAAAGCTTTATAGAGAACTTAAACTCGAGCCTGGCTACTGCTGATTCTGAGTAGGAGTTTGTTTTAGGAGTCTACGTGGTTTCTCTGCTACTTCAGCTAAGGCAGATACTCACTATTAAAGCCATGCTGTAAACAGTGCATTGACTTTGTGGATTGGATTCTTAGCTGTTACATTAGCAGAAGCCAGTGCATTTTAAGTTCACCCAGGACCTGCAGCTCCTTACTGCCACTGGTTCTCAGGTTCACTTCAGAGTCCTTGTGCTAGTCTGAATGAGCTGAACTGCAGGTCCTTGAAAGAGCTGGGTGCCTCAAAATGGGTCAATCCACTAGTACCACAAACATGATCCTGCTGAAACCCTCCCTATTGTTAGCAACAGGTTGATTGTATTGGATTTGCGTGGCCAGAGTTTGGTAGCAGGGGGAATACAGGAGGTGGCTTCTGTGAGAAACTGCCAGAAGCTTCCCCCATATCTGACAGAGCCAGTGCCAGATGGATCCAAGACAGTCTGGCTGCTGGCCAAGGCCGAGCCAATTGGAGGTGGTAGTAACACCTCTGTGATAACATATTTAAGAAGGAAAAAAAAAATTTACTGTGTGGATGTAATTGCTTGCAGAGAAGAAAGGAGTGAGTATGTGTGAGAAGAACAGCTCTTCAGGTACCAAGGTCAGTGAAGGAGGAGGGGGAGGAGTTGCTTCAGGTGTCAGAGCTGAAGTTCCACTGAACCCTGTGGTGCAGACTGTGGGAAGGCAGCTATGCCCCCACAGTCCATTGTGGTTCATGGGGATGCAGAGATCCACTTGCAGCCTGTAGGGGAGATCCACACTGGAGCAGGTGGATGCCCAAAGGAGGCTGTGAACCCATGGGAAGCCTGTGCTGGGGCAGGCTCCTGGCAGGACCTGTGGCCCACGGAGAGAGAGCCCATGCTGGAGTGTGTTTACTGGCAGGACTTTTGACCCTGTGGGAGACCTGTGCTGGAGCAGCCTGTTCCTGAAGGACTGCACCCTGTGGAAGGGACCCAAGCTGGAGCTGTTTGTGAAGAAGTATAGCCTGTGGGAAAACCCGTTGGAGAAGTTTGTGGAGAATTGTCTGCCATGGGAGAAGGGAAGGACTCCTCTCCCTGAGCAGTGGCAGAAACAACCTGTGATGAATTGACCATAACCCCCATTCCCTGCCTCCCTGTGCCTCTGGGGGGAGGAGGCAGAGCCTGGGAAGAAAAGAGGTGTGGGGGGGAAGGTGTTTTTAAGATTTGTTTTACTTCTCATTATCCTGCTCTGAATTTAATTTTTAATAAATTTCCTCAAATCAAGTCTGTTTAGCTGCTGATGGTAATCGATGAGTGACCTCTCCCTGTCTTTATCTCAACTCATGAGCCTTTTGTTTGTTATATTTTCTCTCCTCTGTCCACTTGTGGAGGAGACTGATAGAGCAGCACTGGTGGGCGCTTGGCATCCAGTCAGGGTCAACCACCACATGGAGCCAGAGACTTATCAAACAGTATTATTCATTGAGCCTGGAATTTTTCAATAAATATTTAAATTTATCTAACTTTTTTTTTTTTAAATGTGGTGACCCTACTATCTTGTTTTTTTCTATTGCAAAACCATGTGAGATCAAATGATGCATTTAGTATTTCTAGAGCAAAAGCAATTAGGAGACCACACTTCTTCTCTTAAGAAGTTTGGGAATGGGGAAGAGTCAAACAACTTCTGTGAAAGCAGTCTCACAGAATCATAGAATGATTTGGTTTGGAAGGGATGGTTAAAGATCTCCCAGCCCATCTTCCTAGGAGAGGTGTTCCAGCCTTCTGATCGGTGTTGTGGCCCTTTTCTTGACTAGCTCTGGCAGTCTGTGTCCTTCCTGTGCTGGGAGCCCCAGAGGTGAATGCAGTGCTCCAGATGGGTTATCCTGAGGGTGGAGCAGAGAGGCAGAATCCCCTCCCTTGCCCTGCTGGCCACCCTGCTTTGGATGCAGTCTGGGCTGTGGTTGTCTTTCTGGGCTGTGAGCACACATTGCTTAGCCATGTCCAGCTGTTATCCACCAACACCTTCAAGTCCTTCTCCACACAGCTACTCTCAATCCATTCATCCCCTAGCTGGTATTAAGACTGGGGCTTGCCCCAACCTGGGTGCAGCGCCTTGCACTTGATCTTGTTGAACTTCATGAGATTTGCACAGGCTGCCCCTCTCGAGCCTGTCCAGGTCCCTCTGGATGACATCTCTGCCCTCCAGTGTTGACCACACTGCACAGCTTGGTGGTGTCAGCAAACGTATTGTCATTAGTGTGAATACAGCAATTGAAGCTCACAACTGATACTTGTCTTCTGCTGTAATTAGAAGAAACTGAGGATCGGTGTACTGTCCTGTATTTACTGTGAAAGTGGGTGTCATATCCAAACCTGCTATCTGTTGTCTACAGCCACCAAGTTCAGCTCCTCCATCAGTCCCAGTTAATGCTGGAAAAAACATTAAAGTTTCAGAGTTGTGATTCCATCTTGCTATGGCTGTCCTCTAGCAGAGGCTTTTTTGTGGGGCACTTAAATGTGTCTCCAAGGTGCAGATTTCTACTGGGCAAGTTCTGCCATGGCTAACTGCTCAGTTTATATTTATCTATTTTATCTTTGGCATTTTATTATCTAAGATTCAGAAGCTGACTCGTGATTTAATCACAAGTATTTGTATGCGGATTATTCTTACATTATGAAATAGGAAAGCTTAATATGTGATTGGAGCTGATAAGAAATCCAGAAGTTCAGTGTGTACCTGACCTCTGAGGAAAACTGCGTTTGTTTTTGGCATGACAGATGGAGATTTACACTAACTAGTAGTTAACACTAGAACGTGGGAACATTACTGGCATGCAGCTATACATTGCTGGTTTTTGGTATTTAAGAAGTTTTGAGTCAGAGTCAAGTTTTGTCAGGAAAGCTAAAAGAAGTGTAGGGTTTGAAGCATGTGCTATATTCAAAGGTATTTGTAGTTCAAAATGTAATGTATTTAGAAATTTTTTTTTTCTGTATGCCTATCAAAAGATTGTTTCTTTTAAAACTGAGAACAAAACTGAGGGCACTAAGGTCTATACTTAGGATGTATGGTTAAATCTTGAGAGACAATTTCTGAAAATACTGAACTTTTAAAAGTCTTGTACTTTGCTTAGAAACAGTTAGATTATTATACCTATAATGTTAATAGCATTTTTTTCTCTAGGTTAAAACTCAAATTTCTTTGTTTAGCTGTTGCTCTTTAAATTCATTTGGATTGTTTGGTGCTTCTTTCTGTAGAACAGAAAGGTAGGTAGATTAGAAAGCAGTGATCTGTTCTTGTTTTCCTGCTTGAGTGCATGTGTGGGCAAGTTCATTGTAGAAATTTGAAAGAGAGCAATTGTTTCTAGATCTGTGCTTTTTTTCTCTCTCTTTTTTTTCCTCCTTTTTTTTTTTTCTTCTTTGTTGTCAGACATTTAGTTTAACTCTTGACTGAACAACAGTCATAAAAGAAGTGACTGGTACACAGGCATTAACTCCACCCTGATGCAGTGGCAGTTTAAGGCTACGTGAAGGTTAGTCCAGTTTGGGTAGGGCTTTGAGCAACCTGGTCTGGTAGAAGGTGTCACTATCTGGGGCAGGACTGCCTGGGGCAGGGTAGTTGTAACTAGATGACCAAAAAATGTCCCTTCCAACCCAAATAATTCTATGATTCTCTGATCTCAGTGTACTGGGGTGAGATGTAGAAAGCGCTCAATTGACTGTTTCACTCTGGACAATATTCACGTTACTGTATTGAGAGAACATACACTTTTATCCTAATGCTTAGGTTAGGAATGTCAGTAAGACTCACCTATGGCTCTTCTTTCCCTGTTCTCTAAATCAAAGGTCATAATCCGCATATGTAGACAACATGAGTATTCACAAGTTGCTTGGCTTCGTGTTGCTTCTGTATTTGTGTCTAGAAGCCATGTCCTTGTGTTGCAGCATTTTCCTGGAGGACCAGCATTACTCAAGGACAACAGACCCACAGTTTAAACTGAGTAAGGTGAGACTTGCCAGAGGTAAGAGCTAAGATTCCAGAAGGAAGACAGTCAAGCAAATGTCCTTTGCCTAAGTGACTGTTTAAGGAACCCTGTGAAAAATTATCCTTTCCTTAAAGAAGGATCAGGCCAGAATGTACAAGAAGAGGTATATTTAGACATTCAGTCTAGATCCCTTCTCTTTCAGTCTTCCAAGGAAAAGTATCTCCATCATAGAACATGTTCTGTTCCCCTGAGTGTGTTTTCCAGTGCAAGCTCTACTGGAAGCCTGCTTTGCATTGCATTTCTGCTGTGAGGTTTAAGACAACTACTGAAGTTATGCGTGAATGTATTTGTGTCCAGTTTGTCTCTGTTTTTCATGCACGTTTCGCTATAACAGCTCTCATATTATTATGCATGTTTATAATGCATTTTATTTTGCAGTCTTGCAGGGTATTGAGGTCACATTAATAGGCCTAATTGTAAATCAAAGCTTCCTCCAAAGGAAGAAGAATTTGCAAGTTATCTTCATGCAGAAGCTAACACCTTTTGTGCCTTTTTGAGGAGTCAGTTGGTAAGACCCAAGCCTGTCATGGGTTTGGGGGTCTGTCTGATCAGGGGGCTCAGGAGCCAGGCTGTCCTGCAGTCTTGGGTTTTCTGTACATCCCAAGTTCCTGCCAGGCTCTTCGGGGGGAGATGATCACGCACACAGTAACTGGACTGCCTGATCTTTGCCTTCAGCTCTTTCAAAGTAAAAAGCATATGGTGGTCTCAGTTTATCTTACTCTTTATCCTCAGTGGGAAGCTCTTTTGAGAAGCAGCATTTGTCACAGTTTTAGTGTGTTATTCAGGTTGTGGATATGAGGCAGGAGCAGAGGCAGTGAGCACAGGCTGAAATACAAGTATGTCTGTCTGAACACTGGGAGATGCTTTTTCACTGTGAGGATGACTGAGCACTGGCATAGTTTGCCCAGTGATGTGATAGAGGCTCCATCTGTGAAGAAGATCTTCTAAAGCCATCTGGACATGGTTCTGGAAAGGCAGCTCCTGGTGGCCCTGCTTAAGCTCGGGTTGGACCAGTTGACCTCCAGAGGTCCCTTCCAGTTCAACCACTCTGATTCTGTGGCCTCTGACCACAAGAACTGTAGGCACTTCTCTGGTTCTTGGGAGTAGTTAAGTGAGAAGCAGGTGATGATTAGCACTCCTATTTGATATACTTGACTGTGGTTAGGCTCAGACAGGCTGTCCCTTTGTGAGTTCTTAGATGAATGAACTTGTGAGTTAGTTATCTGTGAACTAGAGGGATGAATCTGGAGATGAATGGACTGTTGTAATCTCTGTAGCTTTTTGCAAATTAGGTCAGTTTGTTAGCTCCATAGATGTAGTTTAGCCATTTAAACTCCGGGCCCTAATGTTTCATTTATCTTGTTGCTTAGTGATACTTGCTTATTTGTTCTAGAGCTAAATTCAAAGAGGAGACCTACATATTCTGTACCTGTTCTGCAGTGCTGCTGAAATTGTTCATCCAGTTGTCAAGATACTGGTAGCTTATTTGCTGAGCAGCCTCTTCTGCTTTCTGAAGCTGTTGATGAAATAATTTAACACAGCTCTGGTAAATGTAAGTTACAGAACAGACTCTCTTCCATAGCACTGGCACTACCTGTACCTTTCCTTGCTAGTGTTGCAATGAAATGTTAACTGTAGGCTCACCACTGATGTTGGTGGCTCAAAAATACCACAGTGATCACACAGAGATTTATTACACTGTCATTCTGAAATAAAAGCTCTTTTCCACCAAGTTGAAAGATAGCATACTGACAAATAAGCCAAATAAATGATGTACATAAAATTGCAAGATGCAGTTTGTGGTTTCTGTGTTGTGTGGAACTAACAAAAGCCTGGAAAATGTGTGCTGCTGCAGCAGTCTGCTTGTCAGGTGCTTGTGTTTCATTTGCAGCAGATATTTCTAAAGGAAGCATGAATGGGGACCCTGATTTTAGTAACACGATGTTTTCTAGAGATTATTTGCTTGTGGATTTCTTCTTCCTTTGGTGGTAAAGCAAGATCAGTTTGTGCTTCAAACATGCAATTGAAAGTTCTAACAAATTAGACCTATGCTGCTCAGCAGCAGATGTCTGTGGGAGGCAAATACCTTATCTTCTCCTTTCCACTTTCTCCTTTCCCCTCCCAGTGGATCATGAGAGTCTGGCAGCAGACCCAGCAATGAGCAGTGCTGTAACTACTGTAACTCGTGTACTCGTGTGCTCTTTCCGTCCCCGGAGCCCACAGTGGCACCATTCAAGTCCGATGGACCCTGGAGGAGCAAGAGGTGTATGGAGTGCACAAACATTATAGCTCAGGAGTAGAAACAAAGGGTTTAAGTGTGTGACGCAATTAATGGGACATAACACCCTGTACCCCGCTAAGCCAGTACCATCAAGCTTTATGAAGATGACTTGAAATATTTGGCTGGCTATTTTCTGATCATCCACATTATGATTATGTCTGTGTGTGATCATGTTGATGGCATCCAGGCAGCCTGGGAGTCTCTGTTGGAAGTGGTTTCCTGATCCCAGCTGTAAGACCGCTTGAAGATTCTGTTCCTGTTGTAAACACACTGAGGGGGACAGCAATGCAGTTCCGGAGCAGCTAGTTCCATTATTTTCTGTAATTTCTTCAGTGCTGAGTCTGTCTTTGTGCTTAGCTCGTGGTTGGATTTCTTGACAACAGCGGGTGTCAGATGAATAAAGATTGCATTTTTGGGTATTGGATTGCAGTTGACTTTGGTTGTCATATCCTGCTGGTCCTGTCCCCTTCACTGGGGAGTTCTGTAGAGTGTGAGTCTGTGAAAATGGGATTAGGCGAGGCTGTCTGGCATTACTTTCTCTTGGAATGTTATAAAACTTTGAGTAAAGGCACTTGAATAAATTGCTGGAAGTGCCTGTTCAGAGCTTCTGGCGCAGATAAATTTCTTTACACAAACTCTAGAAGAAGTTCTGTTTCTGTGCTGATAAATTGGTTTTAACTAGTCAGGGAAAAGGAAGCAGTGACAGTATAATTGGAGATTAATTCAGGCTAGAAGGAGCCTCAGGAGCCTGCTGCTCAAAGTAGGATCACTTTCATTATGAATGTATTTATAAACACCTTTTTCTTAACATCGTTTTCATTCTCTCTCTTTCACTTGCTTAATCTCCATTCAAAGGCAAATTTGGCAGTACCAGCCCCAAATGAGCACTCTAAATAAGGTGAAAAACGAATGCAAACAGATGGTGACTGAATTACTGGCACAGAAACCTGTTGCAAAACTAATCTTCAGTTAGCAGTCTCACCTGCCTGCTTGTAAGAATCTGTCTGTATAAACTGCAAAGTGTTTCTATGGTCTAAAAAGTGTGTCAACATTAAGTATTCCAATTCTCCAGCTTCCAAGAAGGATGAGGCTAGAATGCACCTGCACTGTCTGTCTTGTTATTGATATCAACTTGTTTGAAAAACCTGGCATGTAATCCAGGGAACAGTACCAAAGGCAGTAGGTAGATTGTCCTTAAGGTTTTTTTCATGCAGAGAAAATGTCACCTTTGTGAGCACTTGGCAGTCTTCCATCTTAGCTCAAATACAATTTAAAGGGTAATGCTCTAGGTGTTTCAGACTCCCCTTTTCTTAATTATCATTCCTATTGCTTTTTCTATTGTCTGCTTTCTCTACAGCACAATGATTCTAATTTTTATGGTAATAACCTAACTGTCTGGGTGCTTTTAGGACATGATAGAACTATACCTAGTATAACTATGCATTTATGTAGAGCAAAGTGTCTGAAGTTGCATGGAAGTCAGTGTAGTATGCTTGTTTGCATATTTGTGTAGAGTCTGTGATTCTTGGCTGCTGTGGCCATGGGATTCATTTAATGAACTAGTCAATATAAGCTGACTGCTGTGTATATAGATATGTAATTAATGGAATGCTTATAAAAGCACGTGTCTGTGCTGAGATAAAATACATGCTTTTTTTATAGCTGCTATTTGCATTACTCAAGTGCACTTACTGTAGTGATTAACTTCTGCAAAAACAATTTGTGTCTTACAGCTTGCCTTGAAAGGATCTAACTATGCTGGTCTGCTGGAGCGGCATCGCATCCATACAAAAAACGTGGAGCATGTTGTAGACAGTTTAAGGTAAGACTGTATGGATGCTGAGCATGTTGTAGACAGTTTAAGGTAAGACTGTATGGATGCTGAGCATTTCAGACACAGTGAAATACCCATAGATAGTGTAAAATAACAAAGGGAAGCTTTGTGCTACAAGCTCTAATAAAATAGAAGTACTCAAAAGAGTGCAGATGAGCAGTTGTTCCTGAAAAAATCATAATGTGAACTAGCTCAGTTCAGTTAACTAACACGCTCTGTTATCATCTTGAAAACAAATGAGCAAGGTGTAAAGGATTTGTGTGTCAAGTGTTTATAATCTAAATATGCCTGTAATTACTCCTTAGTTACTACTCCTCCTCCTTAGTTAGTGTCAGTTTTTCAGAAGGATGTGACAATGAGCAATATAGGACAGAATTCAGGCTTTTTTTGAACTTTATAGGAACGAGAGGATTGAAGTTCGCCTTGTTAAACGTCGAGAATATAACGAAGAGACAGTTCGGTGGGCAGATGCTGTTATATCTGCAGGAGGTATGACTTTATTGAAGGGAAGCGTTTGTTTCAGTATGTTTTCGTGGATACGTTTTTCAAAAATACTTTGCAACATGTGAAACAACTTGAGGTATGCACATTTTGAAAGCAAATTGCTAATTCTGACAATTGCTAATTGTCAGAAAATATTACCAAATGCAGTGGTTGCGTCCGTCTTGTCTACCTCTGGTATCTAAAACTGTAGCACCAGGAAGTGAATCCCAGTGTATGGCCACTTTGAAAAAGTTTAATTGTCCTGTGTAAAACAGTATAAACTGTGAAATTTACTATAGTTTTCAAATAAATAGGATAAATTCCTTGCTGTCAGGTGATTATATGTAACCCTAAACCCAGCTCTTTTTTTGGTGGATGTGAGATGTAGACTAACATACTACCACTTGGTCCCCTTGCTCAAACTGTCTTTCTTGATTTCACACTTAATTCCAGTGACTGGCATATCAGGTTGGATGGTACAGGCAAAAATATGCAAATGCTGAGCAGCTCGTGCCACTGATTAGTGGTTTTTAGATGAACGAACAGAACAACTATCCTGATTGTGTATTTTTAATATTGGATTGCATCAGTTCGTTCAGTGTTGTTCTTTGGGGATTTGCTGCAGTGTATCGCTGGGCTCTAACATAATGTTCAATCATCTGTGGAAATTAGACTTGACTGTGGCTTTCTCTCTTCTTAGTAGTCCACTTTGCCCTTAGCTACTGATCACCATGCAGAGTGGGGAGAAAGGGATATCTGTACACTCGTGAAGCATCCTAGTACACTCTTGTAGATTTCAAAGAACTACTCTAGGCTGGAGACCAAAGTGCCAGTTTAGGGCAAAATTTGTCATAGTTGAGGCAAGCAGCTGGGAAGTGATACCTCATCTAAGGTTTTCAGAGCTTATATCTAGCTGCAAAGACTGATTGAGGTTATAGTTGCCTTGCTGTTTAACAGCCAGGAAAAAATACTAATATCTGGAGAAACCAGTACATTTAAGGATTTCTACTTTCAAGATTTTTACTTACCTAAGACTTCTTTTCCAAGTGTGCCTATTTGGGGCCAAATAAGGTCTTTAAATTGTGCCTTCTAGGAGGATAACTGGAATGAAACTAAAGTAATGGTTTTTATTTGATTTGCAGTAAAATTTTGGTTTTGTTTCCTGTCTCCTGTGGCTTTCTTTAGCAATACTTTCTAAATTTACTTTCATTAAAGAATTTCTCTTACCTGCTTATAAACAGAGAGAAATTTCAATAAATCCTTTAAAGCTTGCTTCTGTCAAATTCAGTTGCCTGGGCATGTATAGCTGTATAGCTGTATAACTTGTGCTTTTTCCAGTCACATTTGCCATCTTGAACTCAGTTGTCACTGCTCTGCTTTGAAAGATGTCAGTAGTTTTGCAGTCCCATTTTATTTTTGTCCAGCTTACGTAATTGGTTGTTGATACAAAAGCACAGAGTGGTAATGCTGAAGTACCTATGGGGACTGTTTTGTTTGGGTACTAGAATGTGAAGTGATACTAACTTTTGGTTTGCTTTTTCTGTAGGTGATGGTACAATGTTGTTGGCAGCCAGTAAGGTTTTTGATAAATTTAAACCAGTCATTGGAGTAAATACTGATCCTGAAAGGTAAAAACATATTTGGGAAAAAGTGCTTTATTTAATATCAGGCACAGTGTGCATTTGAGGCATGCCTGTAGTATTTGGCAGTGTAAATGTCTGTTTTAGTGGGCTCTAGATTTCAGGCTAACATGTTATTTTTTTAGAAAAGTTTCCACGATGAGTTGCCCTGTCTCATCTGAGAAGACACTAAGCAGTATTGGATAAGCATGACTGTGTTAAGCTGAACTGTTTTCATGCACCAGTGTAACAGCACTTGCAGCTGGTTTACTTGTATTACTAACCAGAAGTTTAAGTCCAGGGATGGCAGTATAGAACCCAGACAGGAAGAGGGACTTCATAAAAGCAGCTAAGTGTGGTGCCTGAACAGAAACTTCGTCTCTTTATGAAGCAGGTGGATCTGGTAGAGCCTCAGATGAAGAAGTTTGCTGTAGTTTCTTCATGTAAACCATGTCATACCTCAGAGGACACAGTCTCCTCAGCCAATTATTGGCACTTAGTTGTCCTGTTATAAACTCCACACAAGTTGCATCCACCTGCCCAAATCAGTCTTACAGTTAGGTGGATGCAGTGTGTTAGTAATGACTGGTTGGTATAAGCTTCAAATGAATGGCAAATAAAACTCAGAATTCTCCAAGGCTCTGTGTGCTGGGAAGTCCAGATTTAGATTTCTACTTTTGATATTAACAGTCAATTTATTCTGCACTATCAAGCCTGAATAGCAGGGTTCAAATAACAAGTGCCTTCAAGTTATCAAATATCACTCATGAAAGGGGAGCAGTGGTTAGTCTTCTGGTTTTGACCAGAGAGATTCTTTTGATCTTAGGCATGTTGCTTACCTGTTTCGTATCAACTAAGTTGTGTAAAGGGAGGAAATTTACTTTCTCACTTGCCAGGTTTATTAAGCTTGAATTTCTTGCCCAGAGTGATGACAGGAACTATACATGTATTTATATATTCCTGCAGGATTACTAGATGAACAGACAGTTTTTAGGGGAAATGTAGGAGAAATAACCTTATTTTTAAAAGGTACCAAATCTTAACAGATATACTGTGTCATTTTTTGTTACTAGATCTGAGGGTCACTTGTGCTTGCCTGTGAGATACACACGTTCATTTCCTGAAGCACTACAGAAGCTTTATCGTGGTGAGTTCAGGTAGGATTCACTATCTTTGGTTTTCAAAAGCATAGTGGGATTGGAATAAAATACTTAATGAAGGATGTGCAATGCCTAAGGAGTAGGTGATGCTTAGTAAAATCTTAATGCTTCAAATTGTGAATTTGGTGTACGTGTTTATTTACCATGTTGAAAATGAGTTTGTGGTCAAGAGTGAGACTGGAATACAAAGGATAAAATTGACTGCCAGCTCCAGCAAAAAGTCTTCCGTTGTGGCCTGCGGTAATTGATTTTCTTTTCTGACTTAGCAAATTCATAAATGAGGAACTGCATGCCTGTAAAGGGTACATTAGTTTACATATTTTAAGACTGAAAAGCATATGTAGTACAGTGATGGCCATTAGAAGCTAATGAAACATATGCACTTAGGAAATGGTCAGTGTGTTGCATCTGGAGTTTTGGTGACTTAGGTAGAGTGGCTAAATTTTGTTAACAGATGAGTGTAAGCCAAAGCTTTTCTTCATGCTGAAGAGAGCTTGATGTTTTCAGTACTAGATATTCTTCAAATAGAAGAATCTCACTGGAATTAGGAAGAAACAAGCTGGATTTTAAAGGATAGACTAGGGAAGAGTTTTTTAATAATTATTTTAAGAGAGACATTGTTCTGTGGGGTAATAACTTTCCGGAATACTTTTAGGATGACAAACCATCAAACAGAAATCAGTCACCTGAAAATATATAGCAGTTGAGTTTTGTTTATACTTCTATCATATTAAATTTGTAGCTTGAAGTGTAACTATATTTTTTTTTTCATTGAAAAGTCTAAAATGAGGTGAATGCAGTCACCAGGACTGACAAATAACTGAAGAGGTTTCAATAGGTATTGCTAAATGAAAAGATACTTTCAAATAGCATATTCTGAGACTTAGAATACAGAAGCTTTTTACTCTCCGTTATTCTAAGTCGCTTAAGTAAAACTTGTGCTCATGCAGATAACCCCCCCGATAATCTAGGCAATTTTGATGTTTTGTTAGAAGCAAAGTTATATTTTTATTGCCGACGATCCTGTTTTTGCCCATTATAGAGCTGAAGCCGCACCAACGTGAAAGGACCTCCCTAGTTCTTTTTCTGAAATAATATGAACTGTTATTCCTAAGAAAGAACCCAAGCAGGGGTTTCATTTGACAGTTCTCAGATTTATTTGGCCCCAAGGAAAGTCTGAAATATGTGGGTAACTGAATCAGCTTGTCTGGAAGGACTTTTGGTGGCTTACAGTTGTATATGGATGGTGACATGCCAGAGACTGGAAAAGGGCAATTGTCTTTTCTTCTTACCCTTGAGGTGTCAGTCAGTGTAACAATCCATGTAAGCACTGACCTTGTAGTCCCATAAAAAAACCAACATTATTGATTTATAAAGGACAAACCATATCAGATCACTCATGTTTCTTTTCTTGATGGTCAGTGGTGTAATAGGTTCTCAGAATAGGGGTATAATAGGAATACAGTCCCATTTTCTAATTTTGTAGGGGATGTGACGTGTTCTAGTGTGAGCATTTTAAGGAGGCCAGTATAGTGATACTTACTGCAAGCTATCTGCCTGACTACCTAAAACCATGCTTGGAATTAAAGGGCAGACAGGATGTGTTGAGTGAGGCTTTACAAAGATGACAGTGAGGAAAAACTACTCGTGTAGTCATATAAAGCATAAGTCTTCCTTGTTGTAATTTCAGGAAAAGTTGGTGACTGTCCTCTGGATATCAAAAGTATGAATGGGGAAAAGATATGCTCATAACAATTCTTCTTGATTTGCTTTCTTAATCAAAACTATTACTATTTTGTTTTATGAAATCTCTAAACTGTAAGTGGAAAAAGGAATTGATATCTCTAAGGAAAAATAAAAAGATCCGAATGTTGTATCATGACTTTTATACTCTACTCTTGCTTCAACTATATTCCTCTGAAGCATCCTAAATTCCTAGGCTAGGGGAGATTGTTAAAATAGCTTGTGGCCCTTATGTATAAAGGGGCGGATAGAGCTGCTTTTCTGGACATCTACAAACAAAATACGTTAAAAATATGGCACATATTACTCTATACTTGAGAGCTATTTTATTCTCAAAATCCATGTGTCAGTCATTCAATCACAGGTTAGAATCACATGCCTAAAAAGAAGATTTGTCATGTATATGTTTTTTTAGACTACTTTTGACCAATGTCCTCTTTACACATGCAAAAAACATTAGGTAGCAACTCGGGAAGTGTAAAGTGTTTACAGTTTAGTATGATTAACTTACTAAATTTAGGAGTTGTTGTGGAAGCTATAAAACTTGAAATGTGACTTTGAATAATTCTCATTCCGTAATGAATATTTCAGCTATTGATACCAACTTCTTTCTCCTGTCATAGGTGGCAGTGGCGGCAAAGAATCCGATTGTATCTTGAAGGAACTGGTATTAACCCAACCCCTGTAGATTTACATGAACAGCAGCTGAGCCAAGAGCAACACAGCAGGGCTCACATAAATGAAAGATTCCAGGATCAAGGTAGGTTAAAATCTTACAGGAATATAATCACTTTGCTATGATAACTTGAAAATACAGATTTGTAAGAGTTCAAGTATTTGAAATCTGGGTGCTGCATTTGAGAGACAGCTCTGATTAGCTGAAGACCCAGATTAATGTTTTTTAGAAGGGAGTGGTTTTTTTGTATATTCTGGACTGTACAATTAGAACCAGTTTTCAGTACCCACAGTTAATTTATCTAATGTCAAAATACCTGATCTTTTTTAAAATGCTGTCTCTTAGAATTACTATAGCCACTTGAGTGTGTGTGTGTTTGTACACATGTACTCTTATTACTTCACAATTGAAAAAGCTGGTCTCAGTCTACCAGCAAGCAAATGAGAAGTTAGAAGTGAGATTCTTTTCCTGGGTAATTCCTTGGTTGTCAAACACCTTCAACTATTTTTTTCATGATGGTTTGAAGATGCATAATTGTCTGATTAACCTGTGTCCAGTACTGCATTTGCTCACTTAAAACTCCTTGTCAACACAAAAATTTGTTAATCCCCCTTAATTAACTTATGATATGAAGTCTAATTCTTTGAACTTTATCAGAAATAGCTGTTAAGTCACTGTAACTTCTTGGCTGGAAGAGTAACTGACAGAAGAGAAGAATTCATTCTGTTTGGTTGCCCATGAGTTTTCAGGGAAAGCAATGTCTGAACCTAAAAGTCATTGCCTCACTGACCTTGGTTCAAATTTGTTGTATCCAGTAAAGGACAGTGACTGGCTACAGCCTAAATCAATGAAAAATTGAGTCCTTGAAGACAATGGAGCATTAGGTCTACAATACAAACCCAGGCAGCAGAGTCTGTCCTCCAATGAGATGTGAATTTTTTTCTAAAAATTTGGGTTGTAAACCTGTGATCCAAACTGCTGTATTCAATATCTGCAGGATCTGACATTTCTGGTCCACATCTTTTACCCGTGAGAGCACTCAATGAAGTCTTCATTGGGGAATCTCTTTCATCCAGGTATGTTTAATTGTTTGTTGTTACAGCAAGGCACAATTGACTTAATTTCTTTTTATGACATTGCACTGGACAATCAGTGATGGGATTTTACTGTCAAATTTCAGTTCTAGTCTATAGATATTTAACACTGATTGTATTATTGCAGATTACAAAGTGTATTTTCAGAGATGTAAATGCAGTGATGTTAATTTCTGGTTTTCTACCTCCTGTCTGGACATTCTTTAATTTTTCCTGGCTGTTTTCTTTCCCTTTTATTGAAGATTTAAATACCCATCCTTAAACTGCCTCCTCTCCCACATCTCTTGTAAAATATCTTTTGGTAAGCTTTTAGCATGACTAAGCAGAAATAGCTTTTAGCATGACCAAGTACTCTTTTTCCTGCCTTTCTATTCTTATAAGCAAAGCTATCAGCCTGCCTTTGGCAGAAGCTTTGTTACTGGGGGAAAACACTTATTTCCTTGTGTTAAGAAACAAGTTTGTATCAGTTTGTGGTGCTGCCCTATCCAGGATAAATTTCACTGTCCTTTCTGTGCTGAAGATCAATGCATTTTTGGCAGCCAAACAACAAGAAGGATATGGGTAACATGAGTGGGGGTTGTGATAAAATAGATAAAACATTATCCTTGGTCAAGATTTGGCCAAACTTTTACTTGTATTTTATATCCCTTTTCCATTTATTGTTTATCTTAAAAAAAACCCCAAACAACAACAACAGAAAAACTGCTTTAGAATGTAACAACTTCTTGTGTTGGTAAAGTGCCTGGGACACTGATTGCTGCGGGAAACAGTATAAGTGTTCCAGGAATTCTTTATCTTTCATCCAGACTGCAGCCTCTGTCTGGCAGAAGGAATTAGTCTCAAGGAGATACAAATCTTGCTTTCTACTAAATCAAACCTAATTTTTTCAAGATTCTGAAAAGTTTCTTTAACAGACAATGATAGAGGAACAAAAAGCTGTTTTCCAACACTTGGAGTGTCACAAGTACATTGTGGTCTTTGGTTCCAGTGTTTTCGAGAACCACTGGGGAACACAATGCCTGTAGGAACTAATCTCTAGAAAGAAATACTGTGTTAATAGGACCTTACACTTGACGACTTAAAAAATGATGTCACAGAGATGAGTCTTCTGTAAGGTTCAAATACACAGGTTTGCTGTTTATTAGGACAAAATGACTGGAAGCTTCTTCTAAGGTCTTATTCTGCATGTCCGTGAAGAAAACAAGGAAATAGAAGAAAAAAAAACCCACAGAAAACCTTTCATACCCACCTTGCAAAAATTATCTTAAACTGAATCAAACTGTACACCCGTGTTGATAATTTACTTCCAGTTCTTTCATCTCCCCATCTTCTCAAGAGTGATTACACAAAATACCCTTAGTTACTAAGAGGATAAACTGTTTGACATCAAACAGTCAAGAGTTGTATTCCTAATGGATCCAGACTGAAATATTCTTCGCCTAAAATAGCTCAGTAAGGTCCATTTACTAAGAAAGGTGAAACTCAGTCATGCACGACACAGTAAATGTGGTGTTTTTGTAAGAGGGTCCTACTAATCTGAAGACTGTATCATACCATTTGCATTAGGCACTGTGAACATCAGCAACTTTAGTTCATAAATAAACTCTTGAATGTTCTGAAGCTTACAGAGAGAAACCCTCTGGCCCCTCTAGACCCAATACGAGCAATCCCCTGATGCATGAACAGTAACATGCAGGACGTGATTGTACCCCAAGACATAGTACATTTCTGTTTTAGGAAGAATTTGCCCTAGAGAGAAATATAAGCCTACTGATGGTTTTAAGCTGTTCCTGAAAGAATGGATTTTTAATTATTGAAGTGATCAAGAATTCAGCTTCAAACCATGCTATTACTTATATTGTAGTGCCTTACATCTTAGTGTTCCCTGACATAATTTAATGAGACCTAATGGTCTCACATTAAGCACAGTTTTTCAGTAGTGCAACAATTATGCAAGGAAGGTAATTATTTACAGTTTTATTTGTAAGTCCAACAAATCCTGCTTCTGTATACAAAGTGATTCCTAGATGAACCAAAACCATGAGGTGGTTTTATGCATAAATTAATATGAGAAGTGAATCAGTGAATCAGAAGTAGCTGTCAAATTGGAAACACTGTGCAAAGTCTGTGAAATTGTCATCCAGATTTGAAACTAGCCCCTCTAAACTGTTATGTGCCTGATAAGGCTGTGTGTTCTGTCTTATTCAGGGAGAACTTTAAGTCCTGCAAACCCAGTTTTAAATTCTCGCTTCATAGGGCCTCCTATTATGAAATATCAGTTGATGATGGTCCTTGGGAAAAACAGAAGAGTTCAGGGCTTAATGTGTGTACTGGAACAGGATCAAAAGCATGGTAAGTACATGTTGCTGCTTTGATATAAAATATCATTTCAGATAAGCTAGATGGACCTATTTTGCTTACGCATTTTGTCTGTGCTGGGACTGTTGGGCTGGGGGTAAGTCAGTGAATATCAAATATTCTCACTGTCAACATGGTTCAAATCTGTCTCGGCATATCAGTACAGTAGAGCTCACATTACTTGTAGGTATGGAGAGAAGCACTGAAAGGGTGAGGAGCTGCAGCACTGACACAGAAGTTTACCGTAGGTGTAATTTTGGTGAAAAATGTTGAATGCCACATGTAAAGATGAATGGTTGGGAGTGGTGAGGGAAGGAGATTCTGTTCTGACTTGCAGAGCATACTGGGATGATCTGTGAACTACTCTTGTTGACTAAAATGGAAATGCTTAGATGATGTAGCTTAGTAAACTTATAAAAATCTAAGCTCTAAGAAGAATGGGAAAACATGTAGTTGGAAGCAGCGTTAAGTTGTCTCTGGCACATCTACTGTCCATTCTCCTTTCGAGCCTCGTTTCTGTCATATTTAATTGACAGGGCACAATCTCTTTGCCAAAGTACTCTCCTTAAACAAAGATGACAATATCTACACAGAACTGTGCTAGCCTAATCAAAGGGGTAAATTATTTTAATTTCAGCTTAAACAAGCTGCAGTACTGCGTGTAAGTCTAATCAACTTAGTTTTGAGATGTGAGAGACATGTACAGTGAAAGCCTTGAAATCTATTTGTGTTCATAGTTTAAAGTTGTACAATAGGCCCTGGATTTATGTGGCAGGCTAAGATGAACTACAACAGAAGCTTTTAGTGAAATTCGAAAATGAATATTCATGCTGTAACCATGGTTACTGGGTTTTACTCTTCATTGTAATTCAGAATTTTGTATTCAGTCAGCATAACTTAGTCCTGGAGCCTGCCAAGAATGAAACTGGCAGACTGCTAAGGAAACTTTCCTAGTGTTCAGTACCTTGGGAAAGTACAGTCTTAATTCAATGCTGTTCTTAAGCATTTCATTTGCTTATACACTCTGTACTGAGTAATCCCAGAACCAGGGACCAAACTCCAGGATTGCTCCTCTCCATTGCTGTGTTGCTGGACTTCTCTAAACTGAGGCCAAGCCTCAGTGGAGTGATCTTCCTTAGCCTGTGGTTTGGGGGCTCTCCTGGAATTTCAGGCCCCCTTGGACTGAGAGACATTTAAATGTCCAAGTGCTGTCTTTAGCTGCCGAAACTTGTGTAGAAGGACATCTAGTTGAGAGAGAGAAAAATTTCGAACTGTGCATCTCAGTTTCTTGCCAGCATCTGATCAGGCTTGCAGGTAGGCAGTACGTGTAAGAGAAGGAGCCTTGGACAGCCACGCTCAGCAGCTCTGCAGTCTGATAGGCTTTATGCTGACTTTTTCATCCAAATGTGTCAAATGCAGAAGTGTCTGATCTGAGTGTCCCTTTTCTATATGCACCAGTTCCTATGAGATTCAAGCCCACACTTTAGGGTACAAACAAAGAGGCATAATATTTGTGAAGAAATGTTCAGTTCGTAAATGAAAACTAACAGACAGGATTAATTTGCAAGAGTTGGATATATGGGATAAGAACACACTGAATCTGTAGAACTGTCATGCTTCAGTTTTTTTAATGCAGACTTAAATCAGCAGTTACTGGGTTAAGGTAGGAGGATTACTGGTAAAGAGACTACATGTATCATGCTCTTTCCTGAAGACTTCAGGTAGTGGGTTTTTAAGATTTGCAAAGCCACAGGTAGATGCCAAACCTAGAGTTAATTTAAGACTTTTTTTTTGGAAGAAACTGATATCACACTTAATCTCATTGTTTGTTTGTTTTTCCCAAATGTTGAACATAGTTTTTTGTCTGTATGCAAAATTTTTAGGGGTTTTTTGCTTTGTTTTTCTCCCAAGTTGTACTGCTCAGCAAACAAGACTTCTACTTCTCTGTCTAGGTCCTATAATATTAACAAGGTTGCACATCAAGCTGTTGAAGAGATCCTTAAGATCGGTGAGTGAATACTGTGGCATTATTAGCCAAGTTTATATAAACATACTCTTACCTAATTGGGGCTCTTGCTCTTGATTCAACAGCGAAAAAGCGTGGAAGTTTGGATATGCCATTGAACACGGACTTAGTGCAAAAAGGTCAGTGAAAAAGGCAAGATTTCTTTAAAGTGTCTTAACTTTCACCAGTTCATTTTGTTTGTACTCTTAATACTGAGCACTGCTTTCAGTATTCTAGCGCTCCTTCAATAAGAGTATTTTTTTTTGCAAACATTATTTAGGCACATTTGGCAAAAAATTTCTTACTTGATATGAAAACACTTATTTAGGTTTCTGTATATATAGAGATCTTCACGAGAATTTCAGTTCTCCTAAGATTTGAAACACTTTATTTAATACACATACTGAAACACAACATTTAATTACCTGAAGAGGGCTGTTAAGTGTTCATCATGCAGCAGAACTGAAAGGAATATTCTGTAAAAGTAGGGGTTTTTCTGCCTGTGAAGACTATTAAACATCTGTCAAGACTCAATATTCCCTTTTGGTAGAGAAGCCACTGTTTCCTGGAGGAATGGGTGTTTCTGAGAGTAACTAATTTTCCCTGGAAAACCTAATGGCTGATTTCTCTGTTTACAGTAACAAATGATTTCAATGAGTCTCTGCTCTACAGTCCAGAGGAACCAAAGATGTTTTTCAGTGTTCGAGAACCTATTGTAAACAGGGTTTTTTCAAGTAGCCGTCAGCGTGGCTTCTCTTCAAAGTAAGTGTTGGCTGCAGCATTGAACAGTTATTTCATTCTGTGTATGTCAAAAAGTATGAGTAATCCAGGACTTTCCCTTGAAGTGTTTCAACATCCAGTTTGTGTTTTGAGTGGCTTAAGCATTGTTCTCATAACAGCAGGAGGAAAATGTTTCCTAGTTGTGTTATGCCTATTTAATGTTTGATCCATCCGCAGTCTTACAGAATAAAAGGACTTTGCTGTGCTCAGTTTTGAGTGTGTGCCATTTCCCTCACTATGAGACACAGGCACTGACAAACAGGAGTGAATTCAGGAAAGGGCCACTGAGAGAATGAGAAGGCCAGAACACACCGTGTGTGTGTAAAGGAGAGACTCAAAGGGTGCTTTTGTGTGGCCTGGAGGAGGCAAGACTGAGCCAGGAGGAGCCAGTTGCTGTCTTCAGCTGCCAGAGGATGGTTACAGAGGAGACTGAGTTAAACTCGTTTCAGAGCAGAATGTGAGGCAACAGTCATGATTTTATAGGATGTAAGATTCTCATAAAAAAAAGAAGAAAAAATTTTCACAGAGCGAATAGTCAGGTGATAGAACGGGTTGTCCAGAAGTTGTGCTATCACTGTCCCTGGAGAAACTCAAAACTTGACTGGGCAAGGCCCTAAGCAACCTAACCTGTCTTTGAAGTAAAGCCTGCTTTGAGTAGAAGGCTGCCCTTCCAAACTGAATTATTTGGTAATTAATCATTTTAACTTAGGGCACTTGTGCCAGTGGAGGTTTAGATTGAATATTAGGAAAATTTTCTTCATAGAAAGGGATGTCAAGCACTGGAAATTAGTACAGTGAAGTAGCTGCCCAGTGAAGTAGTGGAATCATCTTCCCTGGAAGGGGATCATCATCCCTGGAATTATTTAAAAAACACTTAGGGCCATATTTTTAGTGGTGGGCTTGGTAGTGTTAGTTTAATGCTTGGCCTCAGTAATTTTGCATGTCTTTGCCAATCTAAAGATTCTATGATTTTTGTGGAGCTTGCCACAATTAAATACAAAAATGTACAACTGTTAGTTATATGTTCAGAATAACTGAACATATAAACAATAACATAAACAATTGAAAGCAATACAGTATTTCAGTATTAATTAAATATTAATTCAACCTTTTATTATCAAAACAAATGTCTAAAGGAACTCTGACCCGATGGGGATCCAAATTCTTCTCTTTTTGAGCCAGTGTTACAACAACATTGTATGACCAAGTCATAAAGTTATTCATATTTCTGGAAGATGTGTCTTCCTAAAAATCTAAGTCACTGCATAATTGTTGATTAAACTTTGGATATCAGAACATTGTACAGACCAAGAACTCATTATTTAATAGTGTTCTTGTTCTCTGTATGAAGGGATAAATTTCAATGGTTAATTTTCCTTTAAAGGTAAGTGATGACAAAGGTGGTTAGTAGCTTTATTCTATCTTGTCTGGTTCTAAGAGAGAGGCCTTAAATTTTATAAGCTTAGATTTAAATTTCTTAGCTTTAAGGTAGTGTAGTCAGACTACTATTGACAGCAGTATGCTGCAATACCTATTCATGAAGTTGTCTGACAAGCATTCTGACCTTCACCTTTTGTCTTTGAAATTACTTTCCCTTTTCTCTGAATGATTCATGTAACAAAATAGACTATATTAATTGACTATCAAGCATTGCTAGTTGAAACTGTATGTTTCACTTAACATGAAGACAATGCGTTAGAATCAAAATTAATTGAAAACTTTTCTGTGAAGATTAAAGTAGATGATGATTAAATGGGATAATCAGTAGCTTTTTTTAAAAAAAATATACCTAAACTGCAGCTTTCAACACCAAATATTAAGTTATAGGCTGTTCTCAGACTCTGGGAGCAATTATTTGAACAAGTCTTTCAGTTCTCCCTGGACTCTTTGCTACATCCACACAAAGCAGAGATAACTGGGGGTGGTTCTAGTGCTTGGTACCGTGCTAAATGGTTCTCTAAGTATGTGATTAAGCATTTACTGGCCCATGCAAAAGAAGGGCCAAAAACCAGTCTTATTGTTGAGTGCTTCTGTGAAATACTTAAATGTTTGAGCTGTTTTGTGAAAACTGAGTTGTTGGGTTTTTGCAGAGTCTGTGTCCGTTCCCGCTGTTGGGATGCCTGTATGGTTGTGGATGGAGGAACATCTTTTGAGTTTAATGATGGGGCGATAGCGTCGATACTGATTGACACACAGGATGCACTGTGCACTGTTCTGCTGGAAGAATGAAGGACCCTCGTGTCTTCTGCTGAAACATTTATGGATCCATAGAGGGAAACCATGGGGATATCACAATGCTGCATTATACTGGATGTTGGCTTTTTCAGATGCAAGAGCATTTAGAGGAAGCTTGAAATGCTTTTCATTCCTTTGGGTTGGGGAAACATTAGCCTGATATTTAAGCTGTTTTTGCATCTGGTGTAAAAGAAATGTATCTGAAGTGTTACCTCTAACTTCAGTGAAAATTGACATTTTAACCTGTAAGGCAAACATGAAAGAACAGCCTTTTAAACACAGGTAGTTGGGTTCAAGTATTAAGTCAGTAGCATTAAATATTCAGATGTACAGTTTTTTAGTAACAGTCTGGGACTGAAACTAAGTACCTTCATACATACACTTTTGTAGAAAAGTTGACTGTCGATCTAGCAATTTGATGCAAGGATATATAGGTTTTGGTAAACCATGATGTTGATGTAATAGAAATGGAAACACAAACCTTTTGTATGCTTTTCAAAAATTGTACAACTTTGTAGTTTCATACAATTTGTGGCAATTTTTTTTTTTTGTTCTTCCAGTATTTTTTCTACTTTGTAGGCTTACATCAAAAGTAAAAGTCTGGTTTAGTACATCTTGAATGAGGTAGCTTTTACTTTTTCTGTCTGGCTAGAGAGGGACTTGAAATCCAGAGGTTTTCTTAAGCCCTTCAATGGGAATTTACAAATTATAGAAATCATGTTGAAGTAAGATAGATTCCTTCACTGAGTGGATTAACTGGCAAACAGGTGTTCAGTCACACTAGTGCATGTAGGTGGCTATCATTAAGAAAGATATTTGGCCTTATTAAGTTAAATAGTTTGAAATATTAGGTTATGAATTTCTTATAATTGAAGAAGAATGAGATATCCTGTGTACTAGGAGTTGGAGCACAAGTTAATACCTATGTCTTCCAGTTTTCTCACCATATGTTTTTACCTTCCTCAGAAAGTTCCAATCCTGTGCTGAATTCTACTGATATTTAACTGGCAACAAATGAATTTTACATGTACTCTGCTCATGTTAGGTAAGCAAGTTGATAATAGAAAAACAAAGTTCTGATTATAGAAGAGGAAGTGACTTTTTTAATAATGTTTTGGAGAAACTGTAAACTGTGACTGCCTTTTAAATCTGTGCTGATAATTGCATAGAAGAGAGAGGGCAGAATTTGACAAAGTTAATATTCCTACAGCATGAACTTTTCTACTACATGACTTGAAAAAAGTATGTTTTGTCCTGTCTACTACAGATTAGCTTCCAAAAGTGAGTTTTCTTTAAACTGCTTTTGAACGGAGAGACTTCTGTAACAGATGTTCTCAGGTGTAATGGAAATGTTCTCCACTGTGGCCAATCAGTATATTTACTGCCACTTGCAAAACGTGAACTGCTCTTTATAGGTGGAGGAAGTAGATAAAGGATTTTTTCTTCTATGACTTGAGTGAATACAAAATGAAAACATACTTTAGAGGAAATTGATTTGACCATTCAGTTCTAGGAAAATGTGATACTGATGGAGATTTCTGAATAAGCTATCACTGTGTACATTTTACCTTTTAAGTGTGTTGCAAAGTGAGTTATTTACACTGTTTGGCTATCATGATTGCACAGCCAGAGGGGAAAAAAAAGTAGCCAAATAAGTTTTCAAAACTTGCTAAGTTCAGGAGCTACCAGAATAAAGCCTTTAATGTCTAAAAAAAAATCTGCAAAACTTGTCTAAAGGTAAAGATGCAAAAGACTAATCTTTCTAAGGTTGTGTGCACACAAACTAGGGCGTTTTAGTTGTCACTCCATCAGTAACCAGTTAAGGATGGTTTATGTGCCTCTACCTAGTACACCAGTCAATATTCTGTTAAACCCCCAAACCCACCAATGCCATTAATGCTAATTTATTACTTCCTAGGACTTTGCCACTGTTAGATCAGATTTAGGTATTGAACACCTGCATAGACAAATTATGTCAGAAATGTCATCCCCTGCTTATTTAGGTATTTGTGTGCTGTAATGTTTTAATGGAGACTGATTAGTCTGATCAGTAAGCATACCTCTTAAACACCCCTGCCATTCCTTATTATGAATGTCAAGACTAAAAGACAATGTTTTCAGGCCTGACAGATCCAAATTATGATCTTGTTTAGGACTTAGTAAGTTTTCACAAATTCCTAACTTAGTGAAATGGAAGCCTGACTTACTCATGAGTGGCCTCTACTGGTTTTGTCTATAATTTAATTGCACTTCTGTTGAAGCATTTACTGGTGAATGCTTAAGTTAATTAGGATGATTCAGAAATTTATAGTAAATGAGAAGCAGCTACCTTTTTTATTGAAGAACGGTAGAATACTTTTTAAGGATCCTTTATTGCAAGGGATTACAGTACAATTTACCTGGTAGACAGTATTCCATGACAGGACAGAGTATTGGTTTAACACTGATTTAATCTGCATGGACTGGCGGTGATCTTTGCACCTCTTCTACCTGCTGAGTCAAATCCATGGTCTTTTCATTTAGTGCCAGTCCACATGGTGTTCTGCTAAACTAGACCTGTCAATCTTTGCCTTTTTTTTTTTTCTCCTCTCCACGTGGTGTTTATACATTATGTAATAAAAATGAAAAGGTTAATTGATAAATGAAGCTCTCCTGTGCCTTATTTCGACTTTCAAAAGTGTTTCATGCACTCAGCTTCTTCTGTTATTGTTCAGGTTCTTTTAGTGGTTTGTAAGCCTTCATGCTTTTAGGTATAATGCAGAGACTGCTATGTAGCAGTTTTTGGTATGAATTGCACAGAGTGAGAAAATAATAAGAGGTCAGTGGTGCACCTTAACCCCAGGGACTTCCACTGTGTGTCTGCTACAGCTGCCACCGTAACCAACAGATGGGTGATAGTCCAACACTGAACCTGGTAGTTGAAAGTAGTTCAGGACTATTCCATCTAGCTAAACCCATACTCCTGTCCCAATTCTGTACATGGTTTTAAAGGACAGTCTAGTAAATGCTAAATGTATTCATGATAACACCCTGTCCTCTAAAACACCAGTTTACACATTGGTTGGGTAAATTCCCCTCTTTGTAACCCTTTACACAAAGTTGGGGGGAAATTAGGGAAAGCATTCTCCCATTAATCAGTCATTTTGTACAACATAGCAATTTCTTAGATATTTATTAAATGCAACAGAAGGTGCATGGAGTTACATTGTGCACAGGGAGAAGTATTTATGGTAGCACTAAGCTGCATAGATTTACTTTCTTCCTTGAAGTAATTTAAGGCTTAAAACTAAGGCAGCAAATGGTGAAGCAGTAGAATATCCAAATTCCCTTACTTCTCCAGTTTTCACAAGGTATGTTGCCCATTAACATCTTTGTAAGGGACACAAGCCCATTAAAGAATCAACTGTTACTTACACTGTTAAACTGAATAAAAACCAAAACAACTTAAAACATATTAGCATGATAATGTGTTTTATTTACTGTACTCTAGAAAGTCAAATTAAATATCAAATTCTAGTACTCATACAATCTTCCCACAGTAAGTAAGGTGTTCTGCATCACCAGATAATTAATACCTGAATGCTTTTCTTCAGACTGCAATAGGAAAAACTGTACCTAACGCAACAGCCCTGCAGTAATGCCGTAGGGTACTCTTAAACATCCATTAATAAATTCACCTGCTTGCTGACTGTATTCATGTGAAAAACAACAGCATATTTATGCCCTACACAGGGTCCAAGTTCTGTCCTAGAACTTATCGGATAGAACACCTTTTGGAACATTCTAGCCTGAAGCACAAGGACCCTGATAATAGATGCAGATGAAAGTTTCAGTTAAAGTCATTACTTGTCCCTATCCTTTTATTTGGTTTGGTTTTTTTAAATTTTTTTGGACAGTTACTCAGCTTTTTCTATGACTTTAAAAAAAAAAAATCCACACCGGACAACAGTGGTTAGTGATACAGATACAAAAAGTGAAGTGCTACTACAAACATAAACTATTACAAAAGAAAATTGATGTTTCTTGCTAGCACCAAAGCATCTCTTCCCTCCAGCATTCTTATGCTGCAGTTCCATGTTTTGGTTTTTTGGTCATATCTAGAACCATTTGAGCCCTCCTCCTGCAATATTTTTACCACTATTATCAGTTGCAATTGAAAGATCTTGTTCTTTGGAGGAAATTTTATCTGAGATCAGACTCACAGAAGCTATACTAAGGTTCTGTAACATTTAATCAGAAAACCTAGCACTACTACATGAAACCAGCATGGATAACCAACATCTATTTTTACAACTGCTAATTCTGAATGGGCTTCTCAGACTGTATTTTGCTAGCAGCGCACAATACTGAAGACAAAAGTATCATTTGTGGCCTGCTAAGTAAAAAACTTTACTGTAGCTCCTTTATGCTGCCTCCTAACTTGTACGGTATTGAGCTCTCTTAGCTGCTTTAGTGTAGACATCCCCAAGTTACTGTTTTCAAGTTTGATTAATTCAGACTTAGTCCTCTGTTATGCTCAGAGCTTCTCCTCTTACTGTGCATTTTGTTCAATTAAGTAGTTGAATAGGTTTAATCTCTTATTCACTCTGAGCTCTGCAAATTCCTTTATAAACCTTATTAAGATACCTAGCACCTCTGCAAGCTGTTCCAGGAGTTAAGGAACAGCTTGCAAAGGTTAACTAAGAGGAATTAACTCTTCCAGGAGTTAACTGGAAGTTTTTCAAAGATCCCCTGTATAAAGAAAAAAAAAAAAGCCTGAAAAATTCTACAATTGCTCACAGATCATCAGATCTCTAAAGGCTTGAAGTACAAACTGCTAAAAAATACTATGAAACATCATTAAGGTGTAAGACCAAATTAGAATGCTTTTTACAATAACAGTACTATGATTAGAGGTGCTCCAGCACTTTGTTTCTTAAGAAGCTTCAATGCACAGTGTGTCCATTGCATCCAGTGCACTGTACATATCATAAGAAATTAGGGTTTCTCAGTGTCAATCTGCATTTGATTCCCCAAATCTCATGGTCCTTTTTGCTGCCAACAGTTGGCCTTGCAATGGGTGTAAAGTGTGAACGATTGATCTTCACTGCAGGCAGTGCCTCCTCTAGGAGCTGCAGGGAGCTGTCAGTCACTATCCCAAACACCTGAAGAGTCTTCAGCGTTTGAATTTCACCAAGTTCTCTAGAAAAATATGAAATTAATCATGAAACTAAAAACATTTTTTTTCTTTTTTTTCAGTCTGTACCCAAGCTAGAGAACTCCATTTCTGCTAATTTTTAGAAGAGGGTAACTACTTAAACACATTTAATTGAAACTAGTTCTCTGTCCTGATACTTCATGAAACTGGATGAATATATTATTTTTTGCTGATCTCTCTCTCACAGATTGAAAACCAACTGGTTCTTCCCCTTTCATTTCCCTGGACTTAACAATTTAGAACAAGTGGAAGAAATTGCCCCAGATGAAGTTTCAGGGTATGGTTCAGAGGAAACAAGCCCCTAGGTACTATCAGTTTCCAATTTGTGGCAATGTTTTGGTACATATCCAGCCCTGGCTTGATTGCTTTACATTTTCCCTATCATTATATGAACTGTGTATCTTACTGGACAAAGTAAAAAGGCTCAGGCACATGCTGCTACAGGAAAGGTTCTTCAGATGCATATTTTTAATAGTCTTGTTCCACTCACAATCTTTTTTCTTGTTGTTGACCATCCTTTGGATTGACATCCTTCCTTAAAGTATTGAGATTGAAAGCTTCCATGCTAATAAAAGGCAGGAAAACCCCCACAAACAAGTAACTCTAAGTGTTTCAGCTGCAATCAATAACTAATAAAGGTGCTCACAAAAATATACAGAGGTTAGCTAGTCAACAGGTACTGTCAACTCTGCCAGCTTTTCCAAATCTTGCTGCACAGTCGGAAGTCCAGGACTGACATCAATACTGGTCACTGGCAGGACTGGAAACTCCAGTTCCAGTAATGAGTAACATTGGTAGAATCCCACTAATGCATGCATGGAGCAGCCAGTTCCATGAGTGCAGACTGATATCACTGAGAGATTATCTCAGACACCTTTGGTTCCAGTCTGGATTCTCAAAAGGTACATGCTCCAGCAGACCTAGAGCTATAGCAGCTATCCATGCTATAGCAGCTTATTTTATCTCAGTTTTATTCACAATTCCTCACACCAGTAAGCTTTTCAAAACAGTACGTGCAATTCTAAACCTAAAATAAAGCAAGTTTAAATTAACTTACCCTCTGCATGAGTAGCAAACCAAAACTATCGGAGATTACTTACATCAAGGCAGCAGGTGATATCTGATAACATCGACTAAGACAAAGATGTTGGAGGAACATGAGTTGCCGAAAATACTGGAAGCACTCAGGCTTTAACATCATGCTGTCACTGTACAGAAGAGCACATTAAATAAAGGCTGAGGTATAAAGCAGCAGTAAATTTGGTATTTCCAAAATTCAGCCCAAGAAATTTAATAAACATCAACTTCTATCACTAAAGTATGGTTTTGCTCAATATAGAAGCAACCCATCTCTAGTGTATACGTGCTGTGAGGGGAGGAATTTTGATTATCACTGAAGGGCAAGTGAAGCAGAAGTTTCTCTTCACACAGATACTCTGCAGCAGAACTCCTGCCAAGAATAGACAAGTTCTTCACAAGAGAGATTTCAAAATACTGTCATTGACTAGGTCAAAACCAAAATACACCCTTCTTTTTACTGTTATGTAGCCAAGTAACTAATTTATATCAGAGAAGAATTAAACTCTCTCTAGGATGCTTGGCTCATAAACTGTAGGCATCTAAATGCTTTCCTCCATTCCACCTATCAACTACCCTCACTTGCTAGTTAATAAATCCTGTAGGTATATAATATTGTCCTAGTTAGGACAGCTGAGTTCATCATGGTATGGGTGTAACCCAAAACTGTGTATTCTATAGCCTTCCATGCCATTTCCCAGAAACTGTTGTCAATAGACTATTAGCACCTCTGCCCATAAGAGCCTGACTCCTCAGGCTATAAACTAGGTGTTAAGAGGCCTGTGAGATAGGAGGATGCTCTTACCTTTTATGGCAATAGACTATTTGCACCCTCTGCCCATAAGAGCCTGACTCCTCAGGCTATAAACTAGGTGTTAAGAGGCCTGTGAGATAGGAGGATGCTCTTACCTTTTATGGAACTCCCTGAGGGAAGAACTGACCATTCCTGCCTGAACTGGAGAATATATAAACCTGGAGTTTCAGAACTTTTCAACCACTCGTGGGATCCAGAAGGAAGACTGCAGCTCATCGCTCTCAACCTCAGCTGGACTGCAATCACCGCTTCTGACCAGAGTGCAACAGCTCTCCCACCAGCAGGTTTTTCCCCTCTCCCTTTACTTTGGACTCAAGCGGGGCCCAGGGAACACCACTTTGTTCATGCCCCCAAGGTACTGGGTTATACATTTGGGTTTTGTGGGTTAAGACCAATTGTTTGTTTGTATGATTGTACTTACTCTATTATTTTAATAAATTGTTATTCTGATTTTATAATCTCTCCTTTGAGTTGGGTTCATTACCCCTGCTGGTTAACTCTTAAACCAGCACAAATATTTATGATGAGATAGCAAAGAAATCTTCAAGTTAGTTACCTACTCCAGATTAGGTCATGCCAGATAGCAAATCTTTTGTAGTTTTAGCCTAGGTAGTATTTTCTGGTTGTGCAGTGCTGTGCAATCATGTATTACTGCTAATCCCCTGAGCCATAAGGATTTAAGGACTAGCTGCACAGATCTTACCTGAGATCTAAATGGACAAGAAAAGGACATCTTTCCACCAGTGTTTTCACATCTGAAAAGAGTCACACAGAGTCAGTCCACCTTTCAGTAACAAGATGAACACGCTTTATACAGCCTACTCACTTCCATTTATGTTCATTTGTTTCTTCTCTACTAGAACTCCACAACTAAAGCTCAACTTTTTGTTTAAAAGATTCGTGCTTAAGACAGCATACAGACTGCCTATCAAGATACCTTACATGGACTTCTTTTAATCCTCAGCAAAGGAGATACATTTAGTTCAATGAAGTGTCCCTAAAAGTCAGTTGCACCACCAACTCAGCAAGGGAGTAATTCAAGTGATATTTCTGTGAAATCTACCAAGACATAGTAATGGTGAGATGCCAGAAATAATTACATGTAGTGAAAAAGTAACAGAAATTTTCCACACATCAAATACCCTTTCAGAGCACCAAGTTTAGGCATCCTTATTTTTACCTACAGAAAGTTCTTTCCTCATGACAAAATTATAGTTTTCCTGATTTAAACTGTAAATTCTTGAGACCTTTTCATTGTGTGCAAATAGCATTGACTCACCTGTGGCTCAGATGTCACCTAAAAGCCACTGTTATTAGCAAGGTGCTAAACAACATGCAAGAAAGCTTTGGTATTTAAGAATTCATGTGCAAAAACTAAAGAAAACAATACCTAAATGATGATGATTAATGTGCTATTCAAGTCTTATGGCATATCTATTGCACTGAAACAGAGTAAAGTCACTCAGTGTTTGGCAAATAGAAGAGGTTGGCACGTTGTCTCTAATGGTCCAATCAATAGAAGGTTTAAATTCTTGATGTGAAGGAGATTATGTAGCATATTTGTTTGTGGGTTTGGGATTGAGATAAGATTTGCATATTTCCTCACAAGGAGAAGACATATCGAGGTCTGTGTGATGTTAAAAGAGAAATAAGAGAGGTCACCACTGACATGTTAGCTAGTGCCCTACTGTCAAATTCATTCATTGAGAAAATTAATTTCTCTTTAGCACCAAAGCAATATCAGTCCTTATCTACGCTCTTGTTAGTTTTGTTGTACCCTCTCCCTAAATCTAGATTTATCTGCATTTTCTATTACTCTCCAACTTTACACAACTATTCCTCCAAGAACCATTAGCAAGCAAATAGTTAAATATTGATTATTGAGATTATTTGCCTTTCGATTAACTGGCATCTGTATGTTGGTCTCAAACTCAAGCAGTTACTGTGACTTTTCTCCTTTGGAAGATGCCTTCAGCAGCCACAACAGTAGAAGCCTTAAGAAAGCTCCAGGAACAGTATCTGGAAGGCCAACTCACAGCGAAATACCAAGTCCGGCTTCCAGGACTTACTTCAGAAGTAAGGGCTATACCTTTAAACTGAAGATGAAATGAGCTTTCACCTGATTCTTTTTAAATTCAGAAGAAAAATCATCTCACCCTTCTTGTCTGAGCTAGAAATATGAGTAAGATTCTGACATCAACAACTTCATGCTATACAGAGCATAAAATCAGTGTTAGTACATGATTTTTCTATACACAGAGTGGATGCCAACCAGAAGAAAATATAAAGCCTGCTGCTTTATCCCACAATGGGATAAAGATTTCTCATGCTGCTATTTACCTGCTATTTGTAGATTCTCTCTGTATCCACTTAAATTTAATTGGGTGACTTCTGAAGTAACATGACTGACTGCTGCTTTGACATGTGTGGCTGTGAAGGCACACCAGGACAAGTTCAGCTCCTCCAGCCTATTTACAAATGAACAAAGAGTTGTTAACAAGAATGAAATGCAGTTCAAGTTCTGATATTTTCTATTACAGTTGATACTTTTAAAGGAAATACTTGTAACACGCCTACTACCAAGTTCCTGTATTCATGAGTAGAAATTCTGCTATGACAATGATTAAGCACTTATTAATGGAGCAGGTTACCCAGCAGAATCTGTCTTTGGATATTTTCAAGATCCAACCAGAGAAAGTCCTCATCAACCTGGCCAGTGCTAATTTTAGATCCTGATCTGGGCAAGGGGTTAGAGTGACTTCCCAAAGCCAGTTCCATCTGGAATGATTCACTATCTTAGGAAGTGGAGTCTCTCTCCAAGGACTGCCACAGGGAGACACTGTCTTTTCATCAGAGTTTGTGACCTGAATCTGTTACTACTGAACAGATGGTCACATTGAAAGGAAAAAACACTATCCATCATTAGCACTGGTCAGATGACCAATTAATCCTAATTAGCATAAAATACTTTATAGTTTTATATAAACATTGGTCATGCTGTGAGCTTAACTCTCTTTCTGTGCTTGATTACCTATAGTTTATCACCATGGGGCTGGATGAAGTATTGTTCTGTGTGCAGGTGGTGTAGCTGTAACCAGAGGACAAAGACACAAGGAATGCACAAGTACAGCATTTAGCTGGCAATCTCTACATAAATGAAAGAACAGTTAAATTGCCACTAGCATTCCCAGGATCGGGTTTGCCATCTGCTATTCACTGTGCACTGCACAGACTGCCATCCTCTAAAGAGCTCATGATCCAAGTAACCAGACTAAGCAACAAGAAAGATTAAGGCTTTGGCTGTCCACTAACTTGCAATTTGATTAAAAAAACATGCTTTTGCAAAAGGAAAGATTAAGTACGTTGTCTCACATATCACAGGAAGTCAGCAGAAAGATTGGGATATAAATCCCAGACTCACTGGGGCTCAGTTCAATGACTTCCTGCCAGCAGATGGTTTAATCTCTGAAGAGCTGTAAATCTGAACACAGTGCTTCATGAACTAGAAGGTTACTGAAGGATTATTCTACCATGGAAAGGCACAGTCTTCTCTGGCATTCATACTGTACTCTGATTGCAAAGAGAGCTCTGGGATTCCACTTTCCAGTTTCAAAACACACACTTTCACTTTGTGAGAATCGCATACTGGTTTTGTTAAGAAAATCAAATTTACAGGATATGAAAGGGACAAAAGTGGGGTTTATCCACCAACAAGGATGATTAAGGAAAAACTACCAAAATGCATCTTTGCTATTACGGAAGAAAATAGCTTGATGGAGAGAAACTATCTGACTATTCCGCTAATATTCAACTGTTAGGCATTTAGGAACAGAAACAAGCACATAAAAAAAAGGTGTTAGATACAAGTATAACTGGGAGGCCCAAGGAAAAAAATAAAAAGGATCCTTTTTCTCAGAAACAGCAGTAAGCAGGAACAGCAAAAACTGGTTTTGTCTTACCCAGAGCAGCTGCTCAACATCATCTCCAAGGCTTCTGCAGAGAACCCTGAGCACCCACAAAGGTTTAGTCTTATCAAATTGGGATTCCTAGCAATGCTCCTGGGGAGGGAAAAAAAAAAGTCTGATAAAATTTAAATGTTGGAACATCGCTGGCATTGCTAGGATGTGCGATTATTTTTAAGAGCTAGGATCCCAGGCACTAGTGACTCACTAAACAGGCAGTACTGCATCTTTAATCAACTGACAAACCTGAGTCACTAAGGGTCTCAACTCTGTACTTGCTAAATCAAAGCACAACATTGAAAGGGATAACTGTCTATTTAGTTGACATTCCTGACAAATCTGCACGTTTATAAACTACCAAGTTTACAAGGAAAAGATTTCTTTTCACCACCTGTTGTATGCCAATAAACACATACCATAGCTTATCAGAAATGACTATGCCTCAACAAAAGACAAAGCAACAGTCCCATTTCTGATGTCATCCCTCTGCAAGACGGAGGTCATTCTACAACAAAACATGTCCAAATAGCATCCCCGAACACATTTGTTTGCAAGACTAGAGCAGACATGCATTTGGCAAAACCTGGAAAAACTCACGTGCAGTATCTACATTTGTACATAAGGCAATAAAATTCCATCATTAATGCTTGATGAGTATGCAGTTTTCACATAGTTTTCACCTGGTATCAAAAGCCAAACTATATTGATTTGAGTCTGGTTCCCCCTCTCTGGAGTGAGGAAGGCATCAGAAAGCAGGACAGCCAGAATCTCTGCCATCTGACCTATGGTCCTGGCACCTCCACAATCACCTAATGTGACTGAACAGGAGGCTGACTGCACACCCAAGAGTGTCTTTTCAGTACAACCAAAAAAAAAGTTCACCTGCTTGACAGAATCTGTAATTTTCCACAACCTCAGAGTGAAGTTCAACAAAGAAGTGAGCAATAGCGCAGAAGCACAATGAGCATCTGGTGGTAGAGCCACCCAGAGCCCTTAAAATAGAAGAGAACCTGTATACCAAACACACAGTTCTCTTGGGAGCACAAAAATGGGAAAATAAAAGTAGTTCTGCTGTGCAGCTTGGATGTGGGAACAGCCAATCGACACAAACCCTAGAGAGGAGCAGTTTCTCCAACCTCCTCCTACTCTGGGGAATTTTTGGAAAAAAAATGGCACCAAGACACATTTTTCTATAGGGGTGTTTCATCTTCACCTCATCTCTTGGAAGGTAGGAACAGGCAGCTCATCTAGCCTGCCAGCTTGCTCTGTTCGGTGCTTAAAACTGGCCATTTCAATAGACTTCACGAGGAACAACTCTCCACTGCATTCTTTCATTAGCCTGCACAAAACGATGGCACAAAACAGAAGGTATTTCCAGAATATTTCCAAACATGTCACTCACTTGATGATGTTGTCAGAAAGCACTAGTCCCTCCAAGCTGAGGTTCTGCAGTCTTTCACACAGACAAAGAATACTCTGGAGATCTGCAACAGAGATTGTGCAGTTTGACAAATCCAGGTACTGCAGTCTGAGAAGTCTAAGGAAAAAAAAAAAAAGGAAAAGGTCAAGTTATTAAAATTGCATTAAAACAGGCTTCACAAATATATCCCACACGCTAAAACCATACAAACTTGCACAAACTAGTTCTACTGTTGTGTTCAGCTGCACATTGAGTATATGACTAAGCTCACTGGGCCTACTGCTAAGCTACCAGACAAAACTGCAGAACTCATATTCCAGGCATTCACAATTCCTCATAACACCTGAAAGTCTACCCTGCTGCAGTTAAATAATTTTTTTTGAGTGTCGTGTCCCATATAAAATGCTGGAGATGGTGACAATTCTTGGTTCTACAAGAAATGAACCAAGAAATGGTTCTGCAAGTGCCTTATAACACTCAATGCTTTAAAAAAATCACATTGGGTTGGTTTTAAATAGCTGACAGGTGAATGCAGATTCTCCTGTTCCAAAACATGTCTAACCACTGATCAGCACTTCCACAGGCCACAGACAGCACAAATACTGCTACTGGTTGCTACTACCTTAAAACCAAAACTACACAGAAAAACTGTGAATATTTGAGACAGGGTTTCAGGATCCAGAACATGCAGAAAAGGTCTTACTCGGTTGTTTTAAACAATGGATTTCCAATACAGGCTCTTGGGCAGCGGAATACAGTAACACCTGCGGGCAGCAAGTGTCCAAGCACTCCTGGCAGCAGATTCCCACCAGTCAGATCAAGAGTCTGCCAGAGAGATTCATCGAACCTGAGGTATAGAATTTTACTTGTTAGTGAGTTCAAAAGGGTCACAACAACCACAGGAAGTTTTCAGTGTCAAAAAAAAGACTGAGAGGAGGGAAAACTATTTAATAGACTATATTAATGTTAAAATACGTGAAGCATCTTTTGATTATACATCCATATAACCCACCTATGGCATAAACTGAATTATACATGAATAAACAAAGTTACAACCATATCATTTAACAGTCCATGGAAATGAAAGTTTCTTTAGTACTAAATTATGAGAAATAATACTTACGAAAGACGATGCCATCTCTTGCAAATCACTGAAACTCTTAGCAAGTCCTTTAGGGGCAAATATGCAAAGATTGCCAAAAGTAATTCATCTGGAAGCGCATCCAGAGAAACACCTTTAGGGAAAGAGCAAAACACACTCTGGTTAAAGCTGGTTCATTCTTGCCTGCTGATCAGATGCCTTGTTTGGTTTGGCTGTTAAAAGCACTTCTACAACCTCTCTAGGCTATACAAACATCAGCCCACTATTTGTCCCCCTTTCAGCTCTTCAGTGTAGGAAGATATTATTACCATCTCTGCATAGTCATGCCTGGCAGATGCAAAAGTTCCCATAATATCAACTCTCTATACGTACTAAAGCCATGGAAAAACAATTTTACTGATAAAAATTACAATAATCATTATTCACATACTCATTTGGGAAACAAGAGCATCTTAGTTACTGCTTTTCTATTCTAAGGCTTGTGTGATCCTCTTTTATTTTTTTCCCTCCTGAAATGCCCACTCTTCCTATGCATGCATGGGTCCCAGAAGGGAGCTCAAGGTGAGCTATGCTTTTGTGTGATACACAGAAAAAATCAGGTACTACAAACTGCTCCCTAAAACAGGCATGCTATCTCCACCTCAAGAATTATCTGAAAGGATGTGGTACAATCTCAGCTTCTCACAAGTAGATACAGGGCTCCAGAAGGTGTTGCAATTCACATCAGAAATTTCTGGGTGGTGAAGCTCAGCTACAGCTGCCTATGACCCAGCACTCAGTCTTATTTAAAAACAGGGTTGTCTTAGGCCGTTCCCACCTTCCATATGATAGCCTAGTGTCTGGAGAGAGCTGCTTATTTATTTTGCATCCCATACTCACTCATACTGAAAACACATTTTGACACCAGGGAAAGGAACCCAGCATCTTATAACCCCTTCAAGTGTCCAAGGTCTTCAGGTTATACTCCTGCTCTTTTCCCTGCCAGTCCCTTTATGGCCCAACAGCCAGTTCCTAACCCAGCAGAGAGTGCCCCTGTCCAAGCCATGGGCTGCAGCTTTTCCAGGAGTATGCCACAGGAGATGGTGTCAAAGGCTTTGCTGAAGTCCAAGTAGACACATCCACAGCCTTCCCCTCATCCACCAGGCGGGTCATCGGATCATAAAAGGAGATCAGGTTGGTCAGACGGGACTTGTCCTTCCTAAACCCCTGCTGGTTGGGTCTGATCCCTTTTCCATCCTGTAGCTGCTGTGGGACTGCACTCAGGATGATCTGCTCCATACCCTTGCCAGGCACTGAGG